ACCTCTTTCTGCTCCCTCTCATGAATGAAATGCCCTGCAGGTCTCTGAGCATCTACCTGTCCACCCCTCCTGAGCAGAAGTCCCAAGACTCCACTGATGTGTATGCAACCCCCCTGCAGCTTTTCCACCTCTACCCACTGGTGCAGTAAATACATGCCCATCCTTTTCCTCTGCTGTTTGCTGGACCCTGGGCTCCTCCAATAATGCTGCCAACCCAAGACCCAGATGGGAGGTGAGGGAGGGCCTAGAACAATCCTGACTGTGAGGCAAGAGGGGCCCTCTGGACTCAACAGAAGGCAGTGTCCTCATCTCTAGGCCAGCTTAGCCTCAGACTGAGGAGCTGAGGAAAGGATAGAGGACAGAGAGGGGTACCAGGTGTGGGATGGGGAGGAGGATGAGCTAATTATAAAGTTTTTCAGGTTTTCAGAAAATAATCAGCTCCTCAGCCAAAGCCCGTGCTTTTACTTATGGAATTTACTAGCCTAACAGTGTGGAGTTAAGTGTGGTGTGGGACATGACCCTTCTCCACTCTGGGCTGTCTCTCCCCACCAATTGTGCAATGGGAAATATGGAACATGAGTTCCTAAGCCTCCTCCTCACTCTGGAATACCATAACTCAGTGGAAACCCATGTTCCTAATGCTCTCTTTTCTCTCAAAGTACTGCACATCTTAGGATTTGTGGCATCTGTTACGCATCAGGCCTTGTTTGAGACATCTTCAACATAATAATTATTAGCTGTCATCTAATTTAATCCTCATAATAAGCTTAAGGGGAGGTGCCATATTTGTCTCACTTTAGAGATGAGAACACTGAGTTAAGATGATTTTGCAACTTAATGTAGAGGTCGCATTCAAACCAGAGCCATGTGACTCTCAAACTTATGCTCCTTAGTATCCTCCAATCCCTGTCCTATTCTACTTAGTGATGTCTATCAAGATAATTCTTTCCTTGGCACAGCTGAGAAAGATGAAACCAGGGAAAGGTGTGACCTCTTCAAGGTCCCATGGCAAGTCCATGGCAGAGTTGGGTAAATCAGGTTTTGTACCTGCCAGTGCACTTCACCTCCCACCCAATACTGGCTACTTTTCAAGATGGAAATGAATGCTAGGACATTAAAGTAGAAAGAGACTATTTAGAGACTATTAGAAACCATTAGACAAGAAGATGTAGGTTAGGAGAAGATGGGAGGAAGGGTAAGGGAGAGTGATAGGGTGGATCAGCTGTTATATGCAGGTATGAAAATGTTAGAATATGACCCAATATTCAATATGATTGATGTACTAATAAAAATACCCCCAAAAATACCACCCTAAAAGGAGGCTGGGAGCCAGAGACACTCCCTGGGCTAGAGTTCGAGGTCCAGATCTGAGAGGGGTTTAGGGGTTTAGAGGTTTAGAGGTTCAGAGCCCTGCTGGTTCAGCCAGGGGCCACCTCCCCCAGTCAATCCAGAGATGTATTGACTTTAGTCAAATCCTAAAGAAACAGAAACATAACATGTGGGGTGGCCAGGACTGTGCCAGTGTTCTCCCTTCTTTCCACTCTCCTGCAAGACAGCCCCCCAATGCTCCCCTCTCCTTCACTCACCTCTCCTTCACTCACTTCTTTGGTCAGTGAGTCCCACTCTGTGCTAGGAAATGAGATAAGCAGACAGGTGCATCCCAGGTCTCTATCAAAGACTGAGTGAAGGATGAATAGTGAGCAGGCAATTGCAGAATTGTCCCAAGGACTGGAAGGGGGTCAGAAAAGTGGTTCTTCCTGGAAGCTGAGACGTACAGGATGAGGAAATGCCAGGCAAACAACCCCTGAATGGAAAGGTGAGCATGTGGCAGGGACAGGAGGTAGGCATGGAGGCTGTGCACCCAACGGCTGCATGTGAAGCAAAGGAGCAGAGCAGTGAGGGATTCCAGAGAGGAAAGCGGGACGGGGCCATGGCGTGCTGAGAGCCATCCTGCAGGCAGTAGGGAGCCACGGGAAGGTTTTAAGCCAGGAAGAAGGATGATCTTATGCATGTGGGGTAGAGCAAAGCTGGAGGTTGGCAGCTGCAAGGCCCATGAGGTAGATGAAAGAAGCAAAAGATGGAAGTCAGGAGGCAGGATTGGGGGTGTGGGGCTGCTTCAAAGCTGAGTTTCTCATCCTCACCACTCTGTTCCACAGAGCCCCAAAGAGAACAGGTACAGCAAACAGGCAGTTGGTGTAAGGCAAGTCAGAGGAGCCCCTACATATGTTCCCAGCACCAGCCTCCCATGCCTGCCGCATCCATGGGTATGTGTGGTGATGGGGACCTCACCCATCCCGCTGCTGGATAATTATTAGGAGGCGGCTCCTTAAGAGAATCCCCCTGTGTCTGCACTGATTCCAGCCATTCCCTGAGCCCCCCACAAAAGCCTGCCCTCTTTCCATTGGCTTTTCAAGGCCCTCTGCTTACTCCTTTTCTCCAAGGACTTGTTTCTGATTATCCACTGAGTAAACTGAAGCAGTAGTACTGGACTCCTCTCTACCGAGCCCCTCAGCTGACACAGAAAAGGGGAGTCAATTTGTGTTTGAATCATGGCCTTGCCACTTCCTAACTGGATGTCCTGAAGCAAGACATTTCACCACATCAGCCTGAGAGTCCGCTGTGGAAAATAACAATAAAATTATTTCTCCTTACCAGGTGTGGTGGCACTGCCTACAATCCCAGCATTCTGAGAGAAAGTCGCAAGTTCAAACCCAGCCCGGGCAATTTAGCGATACTGTCTCAAAATTTTAAAAAGGTGAGGTGGGGATATAGAAGACACTAGGATCAACCCAAGTGCTAATCAATCAACTTACCCTTTTAAGCTGCGGTAAAGACAAAATGAGTCACATAATAGTGATACCTAGTGACAGCTAGCGTTTACTAAGGGATTCCAGTGTGTTACATGTTATCTTACTGGGCTGGCCCACATGCCTGGCCTTTGGTAAGTATTCAGAACACACTTGTGGAGAGCCACATAGATTGCACAGAGGTCTGGCAGCATCCACCCTGGGTTCGAATCCTGATTCCATCCCAGTAAATTTACTATCTCAGAAAAAAGGCAGGCTCTGCATTCCAGCTTTCCCAGCTGGTGAGTGGTAGTGACCAAGCCAGCTTGCCAGGTTGAATAAGATAAGCCATGCAAAGCATCTGGTGTAGTACTAGCATTACGTCTCTCCCTTTTCATCCACAGCATGTACAAAGCACCTGCTAAGTGCCAAACACTGGGGGAAATAACTTGGATATCTGCCCAAGCTCACTCTATCTCCCAGCCTGTCTTCCCTGCACCATATTTCCTCCATACTGTAGGAACCAAGTATTGTAGAGACCACAGCTACCAAGGATGGGGCATAACCTACCCCAGGAAATAAGTTCACCATCTCTGCCCTGGTGACCCCGTCCCTTTTGCCAGATGTGAGTGGCTTGCAGGCTGCAGTGATCATCATCTTGATTCTGATCTCATCCACTCTGCTAGTCACCAGCTGCATCTTATGGAAGACATGCTACTGGTGGTCCTGGGTCTCTGGTCCCATCCCCATGAAGGGTGCAGGTGAGCCACTCAAGGATGGGGGTCTCTGGCTTAGTGTCTCTTCTAAGGAAAAATCCACCACCAAGCTCAATCATGTAGCTGTTAAAAGGCTGAAAGTCTGGACCTTGGTCAGAGTTGTCAGTTCTTGAACACACAGGCCAATCCATCCACAGGGAAACTCACAACATGGCTGATGTCTTCACTAAGAGAAAGAGAAGACACCCAAGACAGAAGCCTGTCTTTACAATCTAATCTTTAAAATGACAACTCATTGTTTCTAACATATTCTATTCATTAGAATGGAATCAATAAACAATGCATACTTGGGGGAAGGGATCACACCAGAAGATATTGGACTGTGGGATCACTGAAGACTTTGGAGAGGCCACCTACTATACCCTTTTTGTTGCCTTCCAGTACAGTCTAAGATGCAAAGCTGGCCTACTCTTTCCCTTGCTCACAAATTCTGATGACTTGCTGATATCTCCAAGACATAAGCCTTCATAATATGCCCCAAGTTTCTGTTCCATTCTTATCTGTGATTTTGTACTCTAATTCCTAAGAAAGGCCTTTTTTCTCTTGTATATATCATTCTCCTGGTCTGGAATGCTCTTCTCAGTTTCCCCAGACTTTCATACCCTCACCAAACTCCTAGTCATCCACCAGAATCCACTGCTTCTGCCAAGTCCACCTTAACTGGAGCAGGCAGTTATGCCTATCCCTTGGTACCTTGTGCTTTCCTGTATTGCACCAAATCACAATTACCACCACTTGGACATCCCTCTGGAGCTCAAATTTAATTTATTCAAAAATTTATTCCTAGATGGCTGCAGTGGCACACACCTATAATCCTCCCAGCATTTAGGAAGCAAAGGCAGGAAGATTGCTGCCAGTTTGAAGCCAGTCTGGGCTACATAATGAGTTCAAGGGCAGCCTGAACTACATAGTGACACCTTGTCTCAAAAAAAAAAAAACTACTGGTTTTTCTACCCAGTAGGATTTAGCAGGAGGTGAATCTTGGTGCCATCCAATTTGACTGCATCCAGAAACCCTAGACTGGGAGGTAAGTTATAGAATATAACCCTCCATTAGCTTTATTAAAAGGCCCAGAAAGTAGCCACTTAGGGTTATATTAAATAAATATATATGCTGCTGTTAAGGCAATTATGATCATCACAGTATACCTCTAAACCCCCCCCCAAAAAAAGGTTGGGTGTGTTAATCCTTCGGTTAGGCAAAGATGCTTCCTGACCTTCTTCACTAGTTGCTACCTATTCCAGGCAAGTTACTTCATAACTAAGCCTTAATTTCTTAATTTGTGTGGGGAAAAAAAACCCATGTTTACCATATGCCTACTCTGGGTATTTGAAATGTTTAATCCTACAACAACGGCACAAGATAGATACTACTATCCCGTTTTACAGACGCAGACAGTGCCAGAGAGAGTAATTTAAGCTAATATCAAGAACTAGTATCCCAGGGCTGGAGGTTTAGCTCAGCGGCATAAGCGCCTGCCTTGCAAGCAGGCAGTTGGGAGTTCAATCCCTGGTACCGATTAAAAAAAGACGAAGAACTAGTATCCCAACACAGGCAGTGAGATTAGAGTCCACGTAAAAAAAAAAAAAAAAAAAAAAAAAAAAAAAAAAAATTCACTCCACAGTGTTGTGTGAGTAAAGTGGAATAATTTGAGAGAAGGGCATGATCAAGGAAGGCATGACACACAGTGAGCAATCTTGATTATTTTTAAAATATCATACATCTTGATCCAGAAATCAAGAATTCATTCAAAGCCCCCGATTTTTTGTGTGAATTCATCAGGTGTCATTGTGTATGAATGAAATGGTTGATAACACCAAAGACAGAGAAAAAGAAGTAATTGATGGGCCAGAAGCCATCTTCCGGTACTGTCCCCCCAACCCCACTCCACCCCACCCTATTCCAAGGCCATTCAAACCCTGCGCAAATCCACTAACCCCTTCCCTACCCAGCAGTGTTCAGGATGACATTTTTATCGCGGAAACCCCGCCCCCCAGTGAGGGCTCGGTTTTCCATTGGTAGAGGTTGGGGGCGGAGCTACATCTCAATATTTCAACCAATGGATTCCTGAGGGTTTTTTTTTTTTTTTTTTCAGTTTGGTAGTCGGTTCCTCCTCCAGACCAGCAGAGGACGCAATCCTGGGAGAGGCAGAGGCGCAAATCCTAGGAGGCTCTTGTATGCGGAAGTAGCGCCATGCGACCGGAAGTTCATGGCTTGAAGTGTCTTGCTGTGAGGGTTCCGGCGGCTGAGAAACTCGCGTTCAGTTCGTGGAGCCAGAGGTTCTGAGCGCCCCCTAACACACACAGTCTCGTATATTCCGATAGGAAAAGTAAGGGCTTTGAGAGGCCGGGACTTCTAATATTCACTTAGCGAGAAACTGGAGGCCCGCGCGTTTCCTACACCATCCTGAGCGGAGGAACGACCCCCAGGAGTGGGAGGTGCTCAGCCCGGGGAGTTCCAGAGGGGAGGCGAATGGGTGGGGAAAACGGAACCCAGAAAAGGACTTGCCAATTTACGGTTGCCAGACTTCGCAAATAAAATGCAGAATGTCCAGTTCAAAGTTGACCTTAAGATAACGAGTAATGTTCTGTTTTCAGAGACAGGGCCTCACTATGTATTCAGGCTGGCCTTGAACTTATAGTCCTTGAATTTACAGTCATCCTGCGTCAGTCTGCCGAGTATGGGGATTACAGGAATGGGTTACTACGCTTGGTGAGTAATGTGTTAGTCTAAAAAGCCAGATACAATATATGGGGCATACGTGCACTAAAAAAAAATCCTCTTTTAAATCGCCTTTTAATTTAGTATTCTGTTTTTGTGTGGCGATCCTACTCCAAGGTCATGGGCTACGTTTGGCAAGCCTGGTTTTTCCCCAAGTGTACTCTTGAGTTAGTTTGCAGGTCCCACAGACTTGCTCCTTGAAGACCCAGAGGGACTCATCTTTACGTCACAAGTGTCGACCACAATAAGTGCTCAATAAATGGCAAAGGAATTACCTTTCACGTCATTTATTGAGCACCTAGTAATATGCTAGGCCCTGGTCTATTTTATACCCATTTTCCTATTTAATCCTCACAATAACCTTCCAAGAGAAGTATGTTTAGCAGGCACATTGTATGAGTTCACAGATTTGGATAGGTTAAGACCTATGTTTGTTGTTTGACATATACTTTTGAGCACCTGGTCTGTTTGGGCCGTGAAAAATAAGGTTTGTGCTGCTAAGGGGGTCCAATTCAGGGGACTGACATGATACACAGACGGCTATGGAGTATGTCAAATGCTAATAGACGCTGTGAAGAGAAAACCAGTTAAGGAAAAGAGACCAGGAAGTGCTGTTTTCTAAAAGGCAATCAAGGGAGGCTTTATGTAAAAAAGCCATTTGAAACCTGGATTATATGAGTCCCATCATGGAGAAGATTGCTCTACAGAGAAGGGACAGTAAATGCAGGCCCAGCAGTGAATAGAATGTTTGAGGAGGCCATCATGGCCAAGACCAGTAAGGGAAGAGGAGAGTCCGAGATACATAGTTAAGGCTTTAAGTGTCATTGGTGAAATGGAGTCAGGAGTGACAGTGTCTGGTTGCTGAGTGAGGGTGGGCTGTGGAGAGGAAGAGGAAGAAATGACTTACTGATTATTCTCAAGTGAGTTGCCTCAGGGTTCTGTATATACTTTACCTTTCTCAGGAAAGTAAATTTCATTCTCGCAGCAAATGGAATGTGAAATAGGAGAAAGGCTCTAGGAAGAGATATCTGTTCAAGCTATGTGCCAGCCACTGTCACTTCAAAAGACACAGAGGACGCTCTCCGGTGATCCTGCCTTCAACATGGTAGTAAGTTACAACCACATCTCACCATAGCCAGCCACACTTTCTGCCCCAGTGTTCCAGGTGACTTTGATAGCAGATGCTGATTCCAGAAGAAGAAATTATATTTACCTCTCCTCAAGAAAAAGAAGTGTGAATGGGTCTTATCTGCCTGGTTGTCCGCAATGAAAGAAGTCTCAGAAATATTCTTACAGAGAGAGGGCTGAGACCAATGTAAGAGTATCTGTCTGTAAAGCAGGGTTTGGGGTGGTTATCAGAGGGCAAGGGAGGGACCCTTGGTGATTGTTTTGGAATTTCAAAACAATCCTGAGCTTTCAGCTTACTTCTTGTCAGTACAAAAAGTAGGCCCAGCCTTAAAATGGGCAGTGCCCTTGCTTTTGAAAAGTACCTAGTTTACTTCAGACACATGGCACATGGCCTCACTGGGTAATCTCAAAGTCAAGTCTAGGCCTCGGATTGTAGGTCTGGCTAGCCTAAGATACTAAAGCAGGCTGGTTAGGCTTAAACTAAGAGAAGGTAAAGTGAAGATAATAAAAACCATGCAGAGGTGGAAAGTAGATTAGAGTTGTCGGGCTGGGGGAAAGGACAGATGGAAAGTGACTGCCAGTGGTTGTGGGGCTGCTTCTGGGAGCGATGAGTATATTCTAGAACTGATGGTGATGATAGGTATACAGTTCTGCACATACACTGAAAACCATTCACTTCCACACTTTAAAAGGCTGACTTTTATGACGTGAATTGTAGCTCAACTTTTTTTTTTTTTTTTTTTGTCTTTTTCCTTTTTATCAGTACCAGGGATCGAACTCACGACTGCCTGCTTGCAAGGCAGGTGCTTACGCCGCTGAGCTAAACCCCCAGCCCCTGTAGCTCAACTTTTTTGATTTACAAAAAGAATTTTGGTCTCCTTCAGCATCTGGAAGAAGTCTAAAATTCTGAACTCCTTTGCTAAACTGCTCACACACCATGGGTGCAGGGCTTGGGGCTCCGGCAGTGTGAAAGAACCCTTGTCCTACAAGAGCTGCCGGGCTGAGGGGATGCCAGGGCCGTTGGCATTGGGCACAGCAATGTTCTGTGGCTGGCATTGTCCTAACAGTGACTGCCTAAACAAGCAAAACTCACCACGTGTTAGCAGTATTCTTACTGTCTTGCCTGCCTGCCTGCAAGGAAAGAACTTCCCATGGGGTCAAAGGGAGTTGGGGATGTAGCTCAGTGCTAGAGTGCTTGCCTAGCCTTTGAAAGGCTGTGGCTCGGTCCCTAGCACTGCAGGACATCCATCCCTTTGCTCTTTCTCTCCAGTATGAGTTTGCAGTGCTGTATCAAATGCTTAGTTGCTCCATCACTGGCCCCGGCCTTAGCCTGGGTTCACACAGAGGCCGCCAGCCGGTTGTGAGCTCCAGAAAGGAGGCAGCACTCATCCCACACCTCAGGCCCTGACAGCTCACCCTTTTTCCTAACTCCAGTCTTCTTCCTGTCTTGGAAGGCTGTGAGGATAGAGGTGAGTCAGAGGAGGTGTGAGTAGGTAGTGCCCACCCTGCAGCAGGACTTGGGAGAATGGGCTCATTGTGTAGTGGGGAAGGCTCTCCCACGCTTGACTGGCCAACTTTTCAATCAAACTGCTGGATCAGACTGGAGCGTTAGAAAAGCTAAATATTTATTTTCATATTTATAAAAAAAAAAAAAATAGAAGACCCCGAGGATACCCCGAAACCTGGTTGACCAGGCCTCTTGCACTGCAGAGAAGGCAGACACAGCTGGAAGGGACAGGATTTATGTTGCATACTTGAACTACAGCGGGGATAAGACTGGTCCTATTTATAGGGCAGAAACAAACACTATGGGTGCGGCAGAGAAAGCACCAGAGTCCTGGCCAGAGAGTGTCCTGCTTGCCGCCTTCCCTACCTCTCCCAGAGGCATCTCCATGGCCCCACTGGGGTCGTCCGGGGGAACGGAGCCTGCTCACATGATGCTTGCTGGGGTGAAGACAGGGCCCACGCACAGAGTGTCTGTGATCTCCCAGCCACAGGACAGAGGCTTGCACACACCCTCAGCGTCCTCATCTTGCTCCACAGGCAGCAGCTGTCCCCGAAGTGCTTCCCTAGGGGTGAGAGGGGTCCTAGAGCCAGCCAACTTGGGGACAGCAGCGGGCTTCTTTTGGCCCCTGTCCCTGTGTTTCTGATTCTGTCAGGCACAGGACTCTTACCTAAGCCCAGCCAAGGTCAGGGGCAAGTGAAACCTGCTGACCCTTGTCCCCTCTGCTTGATTCCCCTGTGGTCCCCACTGTGCAAAAGGAAAAGGGACCCACACTTATGAGCACTTCCTGTGAATCAGACATCATGTCAGGTATTTCCATCCATCATCTAAAACCCTGGGAAGGACCATTCCCACTCCCATTTTACTGATGAAATTGAGGATCAAGGGAGGAGTGGCCCGCTCAAGACCCATGTCCCTAGTAGTGCCAGCACTAGAGTTGAACCCAGCTATCTTCCCTGTCTTCCCTTCCAGTCAAGCCAACCTCTGTTAATGCCTCAGATATATCACAATTGCCCCCTGCCCGCCACCCCCCACCCTGTGCCTCCTGCCTGCTGCCTCCCAGCTTCCCAGGGAGCAGGACTAAGCCTCAGGGAGGGCTTGTGCTCCCACCCAGCATGTGCTACACCCAGTGTCTGCCTGCAACTCTGCATCTCCTGGCACTGCTCCCCTCAGGGAAGCTTGAACCCCTCTGTGGCTCCAGGCAGTGGTAAATGGGCCTCAGCAGGAGCTCCTTGCTGAGTTGGATTACACAGAAGCTGGTCTGAGATTACAGGTTTCCCTTGTTGCTTAGATCTTGCTTGCCTCCCGCTTCCCTGTTTTGTGGCACGGCCCTCTTACCAGGCTACCCGGGACATGGTATAGGTGATGTGGCAGGTCTGGGTCCCCCCGAGGAGGGAGCCTGTGCCCACGGTGTAAGCGCCCATGTTCTCAAAGACCAGCCAGTCCCCTATGTGTAGTTGCGGTAGCCGCAGGCCCTCAGCCACACAGTCACGGCCATCAGCAGCTGGGCCCCACAGGCTGCTGCTGTACAGAGGCTGCTCCGTGGTTGGTTTCTGTAGGAAAGAAGCAACCTGTCAGCCCTCCTGGGCATACCACAGCCTCAGTGCTTCCTCCCCCTGAAGCCTCCCATGGCTCCTGTGGCCAGCAGGATAGAGACCTGATGGCCCTCGTAACCTAGCATTTAATACTTCCCCACTTGTGTGCTTTCCTTGTCTCTTCCAGTTGGAAAGGCACAATAGCTGGTCTCAACTCCAGTTTCCAACACTTTATAGTGTGACCTTGGGCAAGATACTACAGATTTATTCATTTATAAAATGTGAGTTATAAATAGTATCTACTTCAGAGCACTACTAAAAGGGTAAGTTAACATGACAAAGGTCCAATTTAGTTATTGCTGTTGTTACTGCTGTTACTGTTAGCACATCTGCTGTTTGGTTTTCACTGGCCACTTTCCATACCCAAGCTGTGTGCTCACCTTTGCAGCCCTCCCCCTGCCCTCCATTCCAGATGTCTTCTGGGTCTGTCCTAGGGCTGCCCTTCTGTGAATGCTTCCCAGATCCCCTCATTCCTTGCCAGGCCCAGTGGCAGGAGCCAGAAGAACACAGATGTGTTACATGCAACCTCCCTGAGGTCTGTGATGAAGGCACACCTCCAATAGAAAATCAGAGTGACTGGGCAGAAGTCACGGGCCACCTCCCAGCTAGACATAACTACAGTCTTTTTAGGGAAACTGAGGCTCTGAGAGGTTAAAGATTTGCTCAAAGGCACAGCTTACCAATGAAATTTTAATTTTTTTTAATGACTCCCAAATCCAGAAAAGAAATCTGAACACAAACCCTTTGCAGGCAACCAAAATAGCAGTGCAGTTTGTCAGTGGAGGCTAGGCAGGCCCTAGAGGAGGGGTCGCAGCTTAAGAACAGATGTGTGCAGGTCCTGACTGTAGCCTCGGGGCCCCTCACCCCACTACTGCACTCGCGAGTTCCAGTTACTCCTGTTGCTCTGAGCTTCCTAGGAATCTAGTTTTCCCTTCTCCTCCTGCCCTCACCCTTGCTGTTTTCTGAGGCTCCCAGTCTGCCAGCTCTTGTTTGTCCTTTAGATCTCACAAGAAAAAGCCTCCAGGAAGCCTTTCCTAAAGTTCCTTTCCCCAAGCTTTGCCTTCATAGCATTTACCAGAATTTGCAATTGCATATTTGTTTGTAAAGTATCTGTTCATGCCTGTCCTCTCTTTGACAGATGATAAATTCCAGGAATGCAGAGGTGGCATTAGCCCAGTTCATCTGTCTCCTCCATGTCTTCCAGCCTTGCACATAGTAGATGCTTTTTCAATATTGTTAAGAAATGAATGAATGGAATAGATAGATGTAGACAGACAGATAGACAGATATAATTATGAATGGAAAAGAAAAAGGGGATATAAATAGAAGCTACTGGAAGAAGACAGTGAAGAATTTAGCCAGAGGCAGGCATGAAGAAAATGAGAACGAAAAGTCTTAAGTCTCCATACACAGAAGTCAGATTCATGTATTTGACAGTTATTAATAAGCTGTTAGTCCAAGAAAAAGAACTTCCCTATATTCGTGAATCTTTTCATTTAATAAGTACTTGTTGAGCACCTACTATGTGCCAGGTCTGATTTAAGAGCATTTATGTGGTTGTAAAACTCCTGTTCTAGGAAGGGGAGACAAACAAATATATCCTTGTTCATTTAACTCGATATTTTTATTTAGAAGCTTTTTGTTAGTAAAATTAATCTCAGTTGCTCTGAATTATTTCCCTCACTGCCAGGCATTAAAAAACATTAAACTAATTTTCAAAGTTTTTGGATGGAAATGGCCTATTAACATAGCCACAAAGATCTGTGAGTAAATAGGATTTAAAAGTTTTTTGACAATAAAGAGAAAAGGCAATCTTGGGTTATAATTTAGCATTCTCGCACATCCTATTAGTGGTGCAAATAAAATGTAGGTGGAAAAAAGGATTTTAAAATTTCACAGGAGATAATATAAACTACCTTTTACTATTGACAGTCATTTTTTAAAAATCTTCAACATAAATATTCCAAAACTCTAGCATCTGTAAAATTCAGAGATACCCAGTCTATTAGCCACTGGGTCCTTCTGTAGTAGAGCAAGGGGTTCCCTGTTCACAGAGTGTGCCCAGCGCCCATAGCTTCACATCTGCTTGATGAGGCAGGTGCTACAAGTGTAGTTCCCATTTTACAGAGGAGAAAATGCAGAGAGAGGGTGACCTGCTCCAGGTCCTGGGAGGAGTTAATAGGACTATGCAGACCTGTCCCAGACGCAGCTCCCTTCCCCATAGAGGCCTAATACAAGAGCATATCCACAAAAACAACGTTGAACATTTAAAAAGGTAGATGGTCCTAATGGACCCCTACCTAATGCCCCAACTACTTTAAAAAAAAAAACAGTATTTTATATATGACATAAAATGTACCAAAACATTTTAAAAGAAGAAAATGAGGTAAACAAGGACAACACACAAAAAGGGAGAAAGGGAAAAAAAAACCCACAAAAACAGGCAAAAATCAGACATGAAACCTTAGCTAACCAAATCAATGCTCATATTGAGACTCATTTTCAAATGACCAGATAATTTGTTTCTGAAATGGAAGGGAGGGTTCAACAAGAAACAGAGTAAGCTACTTTCTTCCTCATAATCTAAAAAATACAGATCTGCATTTCAAATTCTCTGTCCAGCTTTGCGATTCTAGAGTTAGACTCTAAACATTTCCATGTCAGCTACTCAGCTTTGTCAAGAGAGATGATTAGGGACACAGCAGGACAGATCGAGAAGATGCTTGCCTCTTTTAGCTCAATGTTATGTTTGGGCTCCTCTGGATCAGCAGGCAAGGGTCTGGTAGCATTCACCTCAGTGGCTTTCCCAGGTGGCCTTGGCCTGCATCTGTCTTCAAGTTTCTCTTCCACCCAGCAGCAGGCTACAGCCACGTCTGGGCACCTTCTGATGAGTTCTGTTGCCACTGGGAGACTGCATGTTCCTATGATGCAACCTCTCCAAAGGTTATGATAGGGCCTTGGAGAGAATGACACAGGAGAGAGGCCTGATCCTCCCAAAAACAAATGAAAGTAACTACATGGCTCCCCTACACATCTTGTGACGGTCACAGTTGCATCAACTGTCTTACAGCTGCTCAAGGAGACATTTGCTTTAGTTGCAACAGGCTTCAGTCACAGACACATCACAATTGACCCTGCCACTCTGCAGCCCTCCTCAGTCAGGTCCTAAAGAGGTGCCTTCCCTCTCGCTATCCACCCTCTGTAAGCCTCTTCCTGCAGGTCAGTCTGGGTCACTCTCTGCAGAATAAGGCCCTGATAAGGCTTCCTCTAGGTGACATCCCCACCCATTTGTGAGTCTCAGGTAGTGCATGCTGAGCTGGTAACACAAAGGGAAAGTGGTGCTCAGAGCTGTCAGCAGCCTGAAGTAATAACACTGAAGGCAGCTGGCAGCCAGAGAACAGAGAGCAATGAAGAATTGCTGGTTGCCAGAAGAGTTCCCAAGGCCTCCCTGTAGCTGCTTGCTCCCAAAGAGCAAAGGAGGAGAGCCACTAACGAGAAGAGAGTTGATATCATTTAGGGCTGTTAGCACTCAAGGACACCTTTTGTGATTCATAATGTACATATGCATTCAGCAAGCAGCCCAGCCAGTTATTAACATCTCAGAGGCATGCATGGTGAAGCATACATTTCCTCAGGAGGGTCCTGAGGAAAAGAGTAGGTAATGGCGATGATCATCAACAAGCTTGGGAACCAGCCCATGGCTGGTTTCCATCTTACATGTGGTTGAGAACCCTCAATTGCTAATAACAAGAGGAGCCATTCATTCTCTTAGATTTCTAGTTCCTTATTCACTATTCCAGGTTGGTAGCCAGTTTTGCTCCATTTAGTAATTAGTTGCCTTCAAAGTTTATAATTCCTTGGGGCTGGGGATTTAGCTCAGCGGCGTAAGCACCTGCCTTGCAAGCAGGCGGTCCCGAGTTCGATCCCTAGTACCAATAAAAAGTTTAAAAAAAAAAAAAAAGAGCAAAGTTTATAATTCCTTGAATCAAAATGCTCCTATTCAGATTACTGGTGTGATTTCTGTAATTTGATACAATCTGGATTGTATATTCTGTCTGCTCACGCTGTGCACTACTTTCCTAGCCTTTCTTATTTTTTATACCTTTTTGTTTATTTGTGCTACATTTGTGTGATGTGTTGACCACTATCTTCCCCATGCCCTTTAGTTGTTTCTAGTATACTGCTTATCCTATGTATGCTAAGCATATGCTCTATGACTGAGCTACACTCCTGACCTACATTCACTTATTCTTTGATTATATTTTCAATCTGTTACTTCTTTTTCTTAATGAGACAGAGTCTCACTATGTAGTTTGAACTTACTGTGTAGCCCACACTGGCCTTGAATCCTCCTGTCTCAGCCTCCCAAGTGTTAGGATTACAGGCCGTGCCTGGCTCAATCTTTTATTCCTTTACATATTATGGAACTTACATATTATGGAACTTCTTTTGTTTCAGATGTGATAGCACATGCCTATAACCCCAGCACTTGGAGGCTTTGGCAGGTAGATCATGAGTTCAAGGCCAGCCTGAGCTACACAGTCAGTTCAAGGTCAGCCTGGACTATTAAAAAAAAAAGTTTATGTTTAGCGCCTGATAATTCCAATAGATGAAGTAATTGCAGGTCTGATTGTGTCAGTTGCCCCTGCTAGTTTGGTTACCTGTTTGTGTTTTGAGGTTTTGGGCTTCCAATTCATGCTCTGTAAAACCTTATCTGAGAATTGTTAGAAGCCTAGATTGACGATTCCCCCTCCAGAGAGAATTTGTGTTTGCTTCTGCCAAATACAGTCAGTTCTAGGCTTGAGATTTTTTAGATCCCAAAATTAGTGTAAATGTGAGCCAGATTGCAGCTCATAGTTTCAGTTTTCAAAGTTTTGTTGTCTTCAAATCACTACCAAAATTGAAGCAGACAAGTTTTCTTGCTGTTCTCTGTGGAACAGGGTGTTTTTCCTGGTTGACTTTTACACCAAGAATGTCCTAAGAATGTCCTTTTACACTAAGAATGTTTGCAGCTTTATGTGAGGCCACCCTATCAGATTCTTTGTCTTGGCTAGGCTCTAGGAACCCACAGAGCAATCAGAGCTGAAGATCAAAGCTGTGAGGATTCAGCATGCCTCCCAACAGAAATCCAATTTCAGCATTAGGTGACTCATTTGAATAGTCACTGTTTTATGTCCTCGGGACACATTAGTGAACAAAATAGTCATCTTTTTGCAGTGTAGCAGGGTAATGGCCATCAAAATGAAGAAGTAAGTTATATAGCATGAGCTGGGCACAGTGGTGCCCAACTATAGTCCCAGCTCCACGGGAGGCTGAGGTACAAGGACCAGTTGAGCTCAGGAGTTTTAGAACAACTTGGGCAATATAGCAAGACCCACCCTCAAAAAGTTTTTTAAATTTTTTTAAAATGTAGCATGTTAAAAGATAAAAATGTTAACAGCTGGACAGTGGCATGCACCAGTAATCCCACCTACTCTGGAGGCTAAAGAGGGAGGACTGTGAGTTTGAGGCCAGCCTGGGCACCCCATCTCATAAAAAAGTAGTAAATAAATAAGTAGTAAGTGTTACCGAAAAAGAAAAACATACCACAGGAAAGTCACAAACCATAGAAGAAAAAAACTGATAATCTGGACTTGATTAAAATTAAAACATGTGCTATTCGCCAGGCGTGGTGGCACATGCCTGTAATCCCAGCATTGGGAGGCTGAGGCAGGAGGATTGTCATGACTTCAAGGCCAGCCTGGGCTACATAGTGAGTTCAAGGCCAGGCTGAACTACATAGTGAGACCCTGTCTCAAACAAACAAGTTTATGCAAAGATTCCATGTATCATATATGATCAAGGAAATGCAGATTGAAACAAGTAGCACTTGACCTCTATTACAACAGCCAAAATCCAGATTAGTGACAGCACCAAATGCTAGTGAGGACACAAAGCAACAGAAACTGTCATTCATTGCTGTCATTCCTGCTGCAGGGATACAGCATGATACAGCCACTAAGATGCTCATAAAATTCCCACAGAATTGCCCCTCAGGTCCCTCCCTATACCTAGCTATACTCTGCATTTCTGAAGTGCTGGTATACATTGTGGAATTAATTACCTTTACACCCTAAATATATATCATCTTAGATAACCCACTGAACATTTTAAATGTTTATATATAAAAGTCCACCCAACATGCCAATACTTAAAACCATATGTTCATTCTATATTTTTAAGTTAAAAATAGTGTACACTAAGACATTTAGAAGAAGGAATAAGTAAATTTTAAAAAGTCATCTCTGTTAGTGGGATTTGTGAATTATTTTATCATTTAATTTTCTCCAGTATCTAGTTCTATAAGAGAGCAGGCATATATAAAATAAAGTGACTACAACTTGCAGAGCACAAAAGTTAAGAAATAAATTTTCATACAATTACTATAGCACATTTAAGATACATGGTATTATACTGAAACTTTATGAAAAAACTATAAAAGCAAATCAGTAGATTAAAAAGAATTGTATCAACTGTTACTTTAAATACACATCCATATACAAGTTCACCTCTTATTTGTAAGAAGAAACATCAAGACCTCCAGATCGCACTATGTTGCCCAGGCTAGTCTTGAGTTCCTGCTCAAGGTAGGTGCTGATTATAGGTAAAATGACATTGACATCAAAAAATAAATGAAAAGGACTTCTCCTTGTCACAGAAATACACACAGAAATGAAAGAAATACTGAAATGTACCATTCCAGATAAGTGAGCCAACAAACAAGTCGCTCACAGTGTACCATTCCTGTGAGCTTACTGTGAAATGGGGACAAGTAGTGACAGTATGCATGGTCCAGGATTATGGGGAAATAATCTGATGATATACATCTAGAGGCCTAAAAATGTTCCTACCTTTTTACCTGATAATCTGATTCTTAGAACTCATCATAAGAAAGTAGTTTGTAAAAGTGATTATACTTTAAGCAAGTAAAATGAGCTGGCCATGCAGAGAGATAAGCACAGAGCAGTGTAAGCAGAAGAAATCTTTATGGGAGACCGAGTAAGAATAACAAAAACTAGCAGTGCTGAAGTATCCAAGGACACTGCGCTTTGTGGAGAGGCAATAACTTTATAGGAGTGCTTTGCTCTTGCACCAGATGGATAATCAGAATTGAGTAAGACATGAACCCGACCCTGAAGGGGCTCCACCTCCACTTTACAAGCATTGCTCCTTATTAAGTGTGTGACTTTGCGCGAAACGAGGTACTTCGCCTCTCGAAGCCCAGTTTTCTCATTGTAAAACAGGACTGATAATACCTGCCTCAAAGAATTGTTACAAAACTTAAGAGTAATGCTACATGACATGCTTAATAAAACACCTACACAGTGACTTCAGCAGGCACCAATACATTCGTAAGGTTTGCAGCCACACAGTACTGTAGGAAATGGTGAAGGGAGAGGTAACGTCATGAGGTCCACTAAAGCAGAGGATTGTGGGAGATTTTTGCTTGTCTTTGTTTTTTCCTTCTTAAAAGTTCCTGTAAATTTTAAGTCACTTATGTAAGTTTTTAAAATCTCCTCAGTTCCACAGATATGCTAACATGAACCTGTAGTCCCAGCTGCCCAGGAGGCTGAGACAGGAGGATCACTTTTAAGGAGCAGGAACTCAAGACTAGCCTGGGCCACATAATGCGATCCGGGATAGATACAAATTTAGGAGTGGGGAGAGGAGAGGCGCTACTGAGACCTGAGGTATGTGTAGACAGGGCAGAGGGTCAAGGCTGAGGCCCGAGGTGGTCAGTGCTTCAGTGTGCACAGTGGGAGATATGCCAGAGAGAAGAGGAGGGAACAGGGCAAAGCCAGGGCGCAGCCACAAAAGCCACGTGAGTTGAGTGTGAAGTTGGAGGAAGATGCGTTGCTGAGGACAGAACTGCTTCAGGGAACTGGTAGTAACCTGGATGTGGCCTCCAACAGCATGTCCCGGGCTGGGAGTGGTGGCACATGTCCGTCCCCACACTCTAGGAGGCTGAGGCAGGTTGATCACAAGTTTGAGCTCAGCCTGGGAAACTCAGTGAACCTGTCAGAAAATTTAAAAATGTAAAAAGAGGACAGGACAGAAACCAGAAGAGAGAGGGCCTAGGGGTTAGTGGGGGCCGAGAGCAGGGGCAGTAAGTGCAGACCACTTGGTGGGGAGATACAGCCATGAACAGCAGTAGCCAACTTAGAGTCTCTGGAAGAAGAGGAACTGTGTGGCCAGTGCATATTCACAGAGAGGTCAAGCCTCCTAGTGGCCAGGAAACGGAGAGGACACAATGAGATACCATTTCACATTCACCCCACTGGGAAAACGTTTTCAGGCTGATAGCACCAGGTGTTAAGGAAAACGTGGACCCATCGAATCTTGTACAAACTGCCGGGACTGAGCATCAGTACTGCTACTTTGGAAAAAAGGCACTGTCTCAAGAAGTCACAGCTGAGTCCCCAACACTCCCAGCACAACTGGAGCCAACTCATCCATAACGTGTCTCCACCATCAGACTGTGCTCTACAGCCAGGCTCAGTAAGTGGTCAGCAGCCTGAAAGAGGAAACTGAGGCACTGACCAGAGGACGAAGGGCACAGACCACAGAGTCAGTAACATCCTAGCGCCCACGTGCAGAAAACCAGCTAGAGATCCATCAAAGCAGAGATACTGGCAGCACAGCTTGGCAAAGGGGGAACCACAGTCCTGCCCTTCTGAGGGGCCGATGGAGGAGATGGAGAGGGTCAGGGATAGCACACAATCGCACAAGGGCCCTGGAGGGAGAGAACCACTGCCTGCTCTGCTGCCTGGGCCAGCCCAGTATCTTCTCAGGGCAGCAGGATGTGGGCTGCCACAGAATGTAGGCAATGCTAGTGTGTCAGAGTGGAAAGCTCTGGATGCCTCAACACAGCAGAGGCTTCTTCAGACAATTGACATAACCATGCTTAACTACAGAATGAGGGCCCACAAGCTCCCCCAAACTATGTGGGCCCCTGCCTGCGCAAGAAGAGCAGACTTAGGGGATGGGGATTTAGCTCAGCGGCATAAGCGCCTGCCTTGCAAGCAGGCAGTCATGAGTTCAATCCCTGGTAGCGATAAAAACGAAAAAGACAAAAAGAAAAAAAAAAGCAGACTTTCAGGGCCTATCTGATGGAAGGAAAAACCACACAAAGGCCTAGAGATGTGAAGATACAGTAATGTGTCTGATTATCTTCCACCTCTTAAAGATGCCCACTAAAGTTGCTAGAGGCCCAGGCATGTTGTGTTAATCCTGTTGTCCTGTTACTATGAAAACCCCATTGCAGATAAATTGTTTCTTTTTACTTCTAGGATTACCTTAGACCAGTAATCAGAAATATATTTTGGAATAGACTCACAATGTTCAAAACAGGAAATTAAACACCAACCACTAGAGTTGATTGAAATACTATGTAGTCATCAAAAACATGTTGCCAAAGACTAGTAAATAGCCGAGAAATAACTACACCTCATAAATGAAAAGCAAGTTGTAAAAAAATATGATCCCAACTTTATGAAGACAAACTGCAACACATTTTTAAATGAATGAAAAGACACACAATGTTCAAAGAGTCTTTCTGTCTGGTAGAATTATGGGTGATAACCTTCTTTATCTTTTTGCCTATTTTCTACCATGAAACATGTTTTACTTTTTAAAAATTAGATCACGGGCTGGAAATGTAGAGGTAGAGCATTCAGCTAGCATGTACAAGGCTTTGAGTTCAATCCCGAGCACTATATATGTATTAGATTCAAACAGAGCAGATGCGATTGAAACCACACACACAGCTGAAAACAGGTCCGGTGATGGAGGCTCACCTTCTGCAGAATGGGAGTGGGCCAGATGTTGTCAAACAGAACGGAGTTGAAGATTCCATACACGCCATCATCAAGGTGGTACACAAAGGTCTTGAGGACAGAACCATTTTCCTCTGTGGGGAGGGGTTGAGAGTAATACAAACAGAATGATAAGGGGCCAAGAAAGGGAGCTGACAGCACGGTAGGTTTAGAAAAGATAACAGGTCTATGGAACTGAGGTGGCTGCCCCCTCCCCAACCATGGAGCAAGTCCTGTGACCGAAGCCACCAACAGTCATCCTCCTGATACACAGGTTCACTGCCGTGTTAGGAATACTGCTCCTTTCATCAGAGCAGTCCTGCCCAAGGCACACTTCCCAGCCTGTATCTGAGCCTCTACATGCCCCAGCAAAGGCAGAAGAGCAGTCCACTCAACCTCAAGACCCCAGAGCTCTTGCACCAGATAGGGTGGTGGATGAGCTGGAATGGGAAGCGAGGTCTCCTGGCTGGACCAGATGGGACAATCCCCCAGGTCTACAAAGGAGACCAGAAGAATGCTACCCCCGTGCACAAATGGGACATTTGATCTGAAGCCCACCACACCTCCACATGAATTGTGTCCAAGGAAGAGCAAACAATCCTGAGGCTCTCCTGCCTGAAGATCCCAGAGCAGAGGGAAAAGCCCAAAATTAGAGTCCTTGACACCCCTCACTCAGAGGCTACTGAGAGCTTACTCTAGGAGACCTGACCTATCCAGGAGTACAGGGAAGAGCTGTGATGCTGATGTGCGTGTATTCAAATTGAGTCAGCCCAGCCCAAACTTGAGTCCCAACCTTGACCCTTAATAGCCATGTGCCTTGGGCTGGTGACTCAGTCCCTGCCTACATTTTCTCTTCTGTAAAGTGGACCTCAACAAATATAAGTCAAATGCAGGCTTGACCTCTCACAAGTTCTTAAGCAATGCACTTATACTCCCTTTGACTCTGCTTCTTCATCTATAAAATGATGTCCAAAAAATTTCTATTTTCCCTAATGCCATTTTTATCTCAGTCTGCAGCACACAGCTACGGGGAAAAATGCTTAATAATTGTCTTGGGAATAAAAGTACTTAATTGCAAGTTTCCGTAAGCACCTTTCTCCAGATTCCCCCACCCCAGCCACTGGGCTGACCACCAGGCCTTTTCCAGCTAGACACTGTCCCAGCTTCAGGAGGGGACAGGGCTCCATTGCCCACCTGACACTTACCCTCTCTGCTGGGCTGGTCTAGAAGAACCTCCTTCTTGGCGACAATGCTTACAGCCACGGTGAATGCAGAGGTCACATAGTAGCGCCCCAGCTCAGCAAGGATGTCCACACCACAGCCCTCTGGGAAGTACAGGTCCAAGGCTGAGTTGATCACAGAAGTAATCTAGTGGGAGCAGGTTGGAGGACAATTGTGTGTTTGAAATGTGAGTTTATACTGAAGACTTGCTACAGCTCCAAGTCTATTTCTTAAGAGCTGCTTTGATTTCAGGAAGAAGGATTTGGCAGCTGCTAAAGCCCCAGCTGGTAACTGAGGACAGCTAGCCAAGAAGGCAGGAAGGGACAGGGCTGGGTTGCGGCTCTCAAACTTGTATAAATCACCCTCCTCAATGCCCTGACAATGGCAAGGGGCACTCTTCCTATAATGGTTGATGCTCGGGTTCCAGAAGTCCTAGTGTATATCTTCCATAACCTGTTTGCTAAAATATTAAGGAAATTCAAAAATACAAAAGAAAGAAACTACCCTAATTCTATCACCCAGATGATCCTAATCATTGTGAATTGTTTGAGTAGATTCCTTAATTCTTTTTTATAAACTTTATTTTTAAATTATAAACATGAATCTGCATGTATTCTTACAAGCTATTTTGCTCAATAGACTGTCCATATTCTCCTCATAACTACAAGCTTTCACCCTAACAGTGTACCACTATCTAACCAATCCTGAGTATTACATGGCCCAGGAAAGTTTATTACCATTTTGCACAAAGCTGCAACTGATTTTTGTGGCTAATCTTTGGGTCCATTGCAGAATTACCTGAGCTAATTCCTAGGTGTGGAGACTGCGGAGGCAGCCTCCTTCTAAAGAGAGGCGACCCCTAGTGGGGATTTCTATGTTGCCTTTCTCACAGATGAAGAGACACAGAAAGCAGAGAGGTTGATTTTCCTTCCTGTGTCTTCCCATCTGATTTCTCATCAGTCTACCCAAGGGTAAGTAGGGCAAACTCAGACCCTTAAGGGGCCTTATGACATGCAGTTATATCTTTATTAAACCTCAAATAGGCTGGGTAAGTGCATCAGCTGGAGTCAAGCAAAGCCAATGTTAGCCAGCCTGCTGTGCACTCAGGAAGTAATATAAGCTCAATGAGCCTTGATTTGCTCGGCCATAGCACAGGGTTAATAAGTAGTAAGGTAACCCAGGTAATTCACCAAGCACAAATAAGGTACCGAGGGTCTACTAGTAGACTCCAAGCCTATGAACATTCCACCCCACTGAACCAGTCCCCAGCTCCCACCCAAGGAACCCAGCAAGTCACTCCCAGCCCCGCTTTACCTCTTCAAATCTCACTTTGGTTCCCTCTACTCCAGGGAAGCCACCACCAATGTCAAGAATATGCATCGTGTGGCCCAGCTCGGCACCAATTTCAAACACAAGCCGAGCTTCTGCGATGGACTGAGCATAGACCTGGGGGTCAGGACAGCCGCTGCCAACATGAAAACTGGGAAGGGAGGAATAGCATATGTTTGCACACAAATCCCAACTTCATCCCAGCCAGTGGTGATCTTGGGTGGACAAATGGGACAGTGTACCTGTGTTACTGATGTAGTGACCAAGAGCTGAAATATTAAGTGGGTCACAAGGGGCCTGTGGCCAGTTAGGAGAGGACAGAAGATCCTTGGTGCTCCTCTCAACCCTCCACACTGCCCCAAGAGAACCTTCTAGGCTGAGACCCAAGGCTTACTTTACCCAGACTGGGAGAGACCTGTCAGTCCATGGTGTGGCCTGGCCTAGTTACTCAGCCTGCCTCATTTCAGTTTCCCATCCACAGAACAGGGATAGGAGCCTCTGTGACACAAGGCCATGGGTAATGGACGTGCAGCCCTCAGCTCAGTGCCTGAAGAACAGATTAATGAAGCTGTGCAACTGGCCTTTATTACTTCCTTCCACATCCCTGGAAGAACAGAGGCAGTTCCAGGGTGGGCTGATAAAACTTCCATGAGGGCAGACCAGTGGGAAGAGCCTCCTGGGACAGGACCTTCTGGAGACTATGGGGCTGGGAAGGGTACATTCCAAACCTTTCTTGCAAAGAGAGGAAATTCCTAACTAGCAGAATTCCAGGCCCAGGAGCTTGCGTTGCTTGGAGGCTCTGGGGAAAGTCTCATATAGAATGATTAATTCTTGTGAATGGCATGGGTTGAGTGTGGGTAGGGATGGTGGGGTTCCCAGTGCGCACCTTACACCCACCACCTCCATATGGCTCTTCTTGGCATTTTCAAGCAGATGTCTGCAGGATTTCAGCAATGCTCCAAATTTCAGGCTCAGGCGGCTCAGGGAGTGGGTGTCATCGGTGGCAATACACAGAACCATCCTGATAAGTGATAAGACACAGTGCACCTCTGCTGGTGAACCCTGCCCGCTCCATCCCAACCATGTCTTCTGTGAATCCAGGCCTGTGAACTCACGTGACTTTAGAGCCAGGTAGGCCCACAAACTTCCAAGCCCCATCTCCACCCCAAACAGCCAGTCAACCACTGAGTTCTATCCAACTCATTCTCCTAATTTCCCAGTGCACATTCCTGTATCATCTGCATGGGCTAGTTCTCATCAGCCCTCCCCTGGGCAGCTCTAGTTCCTCCACATCAGGCACTTTTCATACTTTGCATGCATGAGAGGAACTATTTTTCAGTTTTAAGGAGAACTCCAGTAACATGATGGAAGCTGCTCTGGGTGAACTAGAAAAACCCCCTACCTAACCCCTTCACCTGCTTTGAGTGAAAAAAAACCCTTCACCCAAAACCTTCCCTGGGAATCCATCTGCATTGGATCCCTTCCCGTGACCAATATCACTGACCGTGTTCTTCACTCATCACACAAGGCATGTACCAGCCACATCAAATTTGTGCCCATCCCTCCAACACGCTGCTTCTGACACCCATAATTTTGCGTATGTGCTTTGCTATTCATGCCCTCCCCAAATTCTACTTATTCTTCAAGGACTACTTCTGAAGCTTTCCTGCCCAACTCTGCTGGTTCTTTCAAGCTTATGACTTAGACTTCTACTATATCATGGCCTTCTCTGCCTGGGCCTGTAACTAGTTAACTACCTTTGATCTAGCAAGGCCTGGCATCCATTGTCCAGTCCAGGAGTACTCGTGTGACCTCTATGACAGTGGCCAAGTCCAAGGCAAGCCCTTCTCCATTCCCTCCTCCCTTACCCAGCACCCCAACCCTCACCCTCTGCATGCCTGGTTCTCAGCTTACTTGGCACTAGGGTAGCTCTTGACCACCTTTACCAGCTCCACCTCGTTGTCAAAGCTCAGCAGCTGCACCCCATGCTTGGCAGCATACTTGATCTGTGCAATTTGCTTACAGGGGTTGGCATAGATGATCCTACTGGCAGGGACACCAATACGCTGGACTAACTCCATCTCTGCCTGTAGAGCCCCAAAGGTGGTAGTAAGGACACCAGGACCTACTGATCCATGGAGCCCAAGGAAACAGAAATAAAGGGCAGTCAGAGCTACGTAACAAGTGGGCCTTCCCTTTAAGACAACAGATAAACAAAAAGTTAGTTAGGACTTAAGGCTCATTCACCATTCTCTGACAGAAAAGAGCTGCTACATCCAGTCACACAGGTGGTACACTGCACAATCCTGCTGGCTCCCACTAACAGCAAATGCAGGATAGATTAGCACATTCATTGTAACTTGCTGGCATAAAACATCTCACTGTAACAAAATCAGTATATTATACTGATTATATCAATTAAGTGTCTTAAAGAGGGGGTACATTACAATTTATGCAACGGTCTGTACAGACTCCTAGAGGCCCTAACAACAGTGACACATTTTCCCATCAGATTTAAGCTTTTAATAATATTACTTAGAAAATAGTAGGAAAGTCCCTAGAAAATCAAAAATAGAGCTATTATATCATCCCGAAATCCCATCCTGGGTGTACATCCAAAGGCACTGAAATCAGTATGTGAAACAGTCTCTGCACTCCCATGTGCACTGCAGCACTATTCACAATAGCCGAGAAATGGAACAACTCATTCATTGATGGGAAAATGGATACAGAAAAGGCAATGCATACACAATGCACCACTATTCAGCCATAAAAAAGGAGGAAATCCTGTCATTTGTAACAACATGAATGAAGCTGGAGGACATTATGTTAGGTTAAATAAGCCAGGCATAGAAACACAAATACTGCATGATGTCACTTATGTGTGGAGTCTTAAAAAGAGTCCAACTCCGAGAAAGCATAGGATGACGGCTGCCAGGGCCTGGGCGTGGGTGGGGCTGTGTGGAGAGGGTGTTCCGAGGATGCACAGTCCCTGAAGGACTAAATTCAGGAGGTTTATTGTCCCTCTTGGTGCCTACATTTAATAACAATGTATCACATACTTGGAAACTGCTAGGAAAGGAGATTTTAGGTGTTAATGCAAAAAGAAAGTATGCGTTAATGAGTACCTTGGTTGGAAGTAACCATTTCCTGAGGTATACATCATGTATACACCATAAATATAATTTTGCCAAATTAATAAGAATATTGCTTCATATATTAGAAAGTGTACAAAACCAAGAGACTTTCTGACACATTCGCCTAGCCCTGAGGGTCTGTGCTATGTAAGACACTTAGGTGGGGTGGATCTGGCTCAGCAAACCTCAGGGCCTCCCCCTCCTTTTTTTCCCTGGTATTGGGGATCAAACTCGACTTCACGCTTGCCAGGCAAGTGCTTATGCCACTGAGCTAAATCCCCAGCCCTTCTTCCTCCTTTTTATTCTGACGTGCTGCTGCAGCTACAGTGGAGGTGGTGGAGGTGGTGAAAGTGATTTTTGCTGCTCGGTTTTTGTTGCTGTTATTCTTTGTTCTATTGCAGTGCTGGGCTGATGGAATCCAGGGCCTCAGGGATGCTGAGCAAGTTTCTGCTCATGAGCTATAACCTCCGCTCTTCCTCACCTTTATAGAACATGGCTCTGCGTGATTGCCGCTTTAATGATGTGGGCGGTGATGATGATGACAACCGTGATGAGGCACAGGCAAACTCCTAGAAAGGGGCTGACTCTGCAAGCCATATAATCTCTGCTGCAACTGCTCAACTGCTGTTGTAGCACCAAAGCAGCCACAGACAATAGAGAAATGACTGAGCATGGCTGAGATTTCCCCTCAGGAAATCAGGGGGCAGGCTGGAGTTAGCCTCTGCTTTAAATTCACTGTTTCATTCAATCCTCACAACAACCCATTAAAATCAGGGTTAGCTGTGTTCTACACTGGAGGAGGCTGATGTTCAGAGATTATGTAGCAAGTGGGTAGCAAAACCAGCTTCCAAATTCAAAGCTAACTCTCCAAGGATAAGGAAAACAGGTCCAAAGAGAGATAATTTTGAAACATAGTAGAATACATAAGAACCACTTGAAGCTATCCTGAGTTTATAAGACTCTAATTTTGATTCAGCAACTTTTCCTTACGAAGTATTTATATTCATTATCTCATATAAACGCTATCGCCACCCTATACAAGGGTTTACTAGCCATACTCCAGAGGACAAAACTGGGTTCAGAGAGCTCCTCCCTTCTGTGACAACACAGTCAACGAATAGCAGAGGGACCCAAAGGTTCAAATCCAAAGCTAGACTTGCTGCCATTACTGCCTTCTTCCTAGGGACATCTGTGCCTCCTCACCACCACACATACACACTGGCTGAGTTTGAGTGGATGTGCAAATGTATTTTTGCTCCCTGTGGGAACCTGTGACTTATCTTTGATTGTAAATATTTAAATACTGAATATTATTCACAAAAGGCTTACTATATGCCAGCTGTTGCATTAAAATTTTACATACATTCTCATTTAATCTTCATAATATTCTTACTGCAGTTAGGAAAAAGAGAAGTTAAGTGACTTGTCCCAAGTCCCACAACACAGCTTTTTTTTGAGACAGGGCTTCAATGTGCAGTTCAGGTTGCTCTTGAACTCACTTTGTAGCCCAGGCTAGCCTCAAACTCACAGAGATCCTCCTGCCTCAGCCTCCCAAGTGCTGGGATTACCGGTGTGTATCCCCACACCTGGCTACAACATAGCTTTTAATAGCACAACTGGGATTCTAACTGTCAAGCTCCAGACTTCACTGATAGATATCTCACTGGTAGTTGCCAAGCTCTACAAAAGTACTAATGAAAATAAGTTGTGAATAAAGCTGACAGGCGTTCAGATTCTGTGGTGTTCTCAGCTGGTAGGAAACAGGTGATCATAAGTGGACACCAAATCATGAAGGACTTAAAAATGGTTAAAGGTGTAATGAAAAAGTACAGGATGCTAGAGAATGTGGGACAAGAGGATCTGGCTGTGAGGCATAAAGGACAGCCTCGAGGTCAAAAATAGAAGCAGATACTTGCAGGGGCCCTCAGCCAGGACCAGAAGGAAGGAAAGAATGCTTCTGGGGAAGGGAGCAACCTACACAGGGGTTCTGAGGCAAAAATGTTCTTAGCTGAATCAAGGAAGAGGGTATGCTGGAGTGGTCAAGATAGTCAGGAGGAGGTGGGCAGAGCCACCTAGGAAACCAGAAGCTCTGCATGTGGATTTACATTTTACTCTGCACATGATGGAAAAGAGTTAAAAGGGTTTCAAGAAGGGAAATGGTGAGGTCAGATTTGTATTTTAAATATAAGGTCTCAGTACTCATCATTCTGACCACATGAGAAGGAATGTGACGGGCTTCTGGGGAGGCTGGTCAGTCAGTGTTCAAGCCTGGAATGATGACTGAGCTGGCTCTAAAGGGTGGGGAGGGGCTGGGGATTTAGCTCAGCGGCATATGAGCCTGCCTTGCAAGCACGTGGTCATGAGTTTGATCCCTGGTACCGATTAAAAAAGAAAAAAAGAAAGGGTGGGGAGGTGTGTGCTGGGTGTCTGGCTGAAATAAGAGAAAGTGAAGTTCCCCAAGAGAAGGCAGAGTTTATAAGACAGAGGGCTCTAAAACAATACAGAGGCATGCCACATTTAGAATGATACAAGATTGAAAAAGCCAGCTCCTGGGACCCATGGAGAGGTCAGGAGGATGAGATCAATCCACATATGATAACACCCAGATGAATGATTAGAAGTGACCAGTAAGGGTAGGAATAGGTCCAGACCAGCATGTACTCTTTTTTTTGAGACAGGGCCTTGTTATGTAGGCCAGCTGACCTTAAACTCACAAATCTCCTCCTTGGCCTCCTGAGCTTTGGGATTACAGGAATGTACCACAATGCCTGGATCATCTTAAATACTACTGAAGTCTTTAGATATGTATGTAATTGTTGAGAATTTTTCAAAAAGGGCTGGGCATGATGTTGTATGACTGTAATCCCACCTCCTCCATAGGAGGAGGCCAAAGGATCACAAATTCAAGGCTATCCTGGACAACGTAGACCCCAACTCAAAAAAACCCATTTAAGACTCAAAAATGAAAACATTTAAAAGGATTGGGCTGTAATTCAATGGTAGAGCACTTGTCTAGCATGTATAAGACCCTGATTCAATCCCCAGTATTGCAAAACAAAAATTTTAATTGCCAGGTGGAAAGCCAGCACTACCGTAGAGTGTCCCTAGACCAGGACCAGATGGATCAACACAGACGTGTCTCCAAACCTTGTTGAGTTTAAAGCTATTGTAGAAGAGTCTGTACCACATGAATGCCTTTTACATTTTCTTACAAAGACCACAAAATAGTGTTATATACTTCTTGTAGGTATTTGGTATATTTGTACAACCTATAGTAGCGATTATCTGTGGAAACAAAGCTGATGTCCTACTTTCTTTTTAGGAGAGTGAATCAACATGTTACTTAAATAATTCATAATTACTGTTTCAAATAAAGTGCTCGTTGGATTCTGGAGGTCCCTAGGTACCTTGCTAAGAGGAGATTCTCCAGGGTAGGAAGAGTAGAGGCCGGGAAATAAGCTTAAGGAATGGGCCCTGTGGGAAACAGGCAAGGGCACAGCTGAATGCGGCGACTCTGCTGAGTTTGGCCACGAGGAGGAGCAAAGGATTGGGTTAGAAAAGGATGTGGTATCTAGAGAAGTCTTTTTAAGATAGGAGGAGGCTGAGGGAGTCAGCCAAGAACAGGCAAGGGTTAGGGACAGGGACAATGACACAAGGTCCTTAGGGATGAGGCTGGGTGGACCGGAGACCTTGTGCAAGCTGTAGCCTGTGCTCCTGGCCCTGGAGCATGTCCAGTGGATGCCTGTTTGTACCTCCAGCCCTAGCTCATGCTAGACCCTTGGTTAATGAATGTCCAAAAAGGCACAGTGTCATTAAGCAGAGCCACCCACTAGAACCAACCAGAAGGCGGTCTCTGCCCTTTAAGAAAACTTGTAAGTCTAGGACTGTTGTTAGGGTGCCCTGGTTTAGTTCCTAGCCCTGATCAAAAAAAAAAAAGTTGTAAGTCCAGGAGCCACCCCTCAGTAAAAACACAAAGGTCTCTGTGATCCCACCACAAGGAGGAGACATTGGCCTCTTCTTACCCTTGCAGTGAAATGAGGGCGTCCACTATTGGCCCAGTGGCAGCTCAGCTACCCCCTCCCCCAGGCACTGGAAAAAACGTAACAACAGAGTCCCAACATCACGCTGCTAGGTTCAAGCTGCCACCTCCAGCACGTGACCCTAGGCAAGTCACTCAATTCTTGTGCTGCATTTGCTTTTATGCTGAATTCATCTTTATTAGGCTGCTGTCAGAATCAGACCTCACAGGGTTGTTTCAAGAATCAAATGAGATCATGTACAGAAAATGCTTGGCAAGGTGCCTGGCGCTGCAGACACACTCAGCAGCATAGAAGCTTCTAAAGTCCCCACTGTCTTTGAGGTCCTCCAATGCCCTAACAGCCCACAGCTGTGCCTTTTGGAGTCCAGCTCCTGAGGCTCAACTACCAAGTGCTTCACCCCTGAGCTTCCAGAAGCAGAGGACTCTAGTCAGTGGTTTTGGTCCTGTCCTCTCCCCTGAACGAGGGATCAAAGGACCCTGTTCCTTCTCGCCCAGCATGCTGCAGGAGACAACAGAGAGAGTGAAAGTCCTGGCTCTGCAGTGTCTCCCCAGGTTTACCTAACACACGCAGTGAAAGCACAAGGGAAGACACTTGTCAGCCATGAAGAGCATTAATATTTGGTCCCTGTCTAAGGTTAACCTGCCTGTTTTGTCCTATCCCAGTACAGACCTAGCCCTTACCTAAACCCAGGACTTCCCACTTGCTGTTCCCTCAGCCCAGAATGCTCCTCCCTGTTTATCTGATCCCTCTCTTCCTTCAGGTCTGTATTCAAATCTCCCCAGTGCCTTCTTTGCCCAAACTATGTAAAAGCACAACCCTGTCACCAGATTCCCTACTTCCCTTTCCTATTTTTTCACATCACTTACTATCTGAAATACTATATACTTTCATGGTTTAATTTGTCTATGTTTTAGAGCTCAAGCTCTATGAATGGAGGGCTTTTTTATTTTGTTTTATTCATGGCTAAATTCCCACCTAAAATAGTACTTGGCCCCATATTAGATTCTCATTAAATATTTGCTGAATGAATAAATATGTTCAAAGTTGAACTCTAATGAAACTTTATAACTTAAAGGCTTTCCATCTAGTAAGAGTAGAATGACAATACATGAACTAAGCATGCTACTCAAGGGCAGCAGAACCTGTCTTAATGCTGTAAATGCCAACGGTCCCTGGCATAGCTGTCACCACGTTGCAGTTCCATGAGTACTGAGTAATAGTATATAAGCAAAGTCCATCAAAAGACGGCCACAAAGAATTAAAGACAATAGCAGAAATCAAATTAGGAAGACAATAGAATTGGCAGCAACACAAAACTCTAAAAGCATCAGTTAGGAAATAGTCACATATTAACATTATAAAAGGCCAGGGATTTAGCTTAGTGGCTCAAGCGCTTGTTTGGTAAGTGTGAGGTCATGAGTTTGATCCCTGGTACCAAAAAGGAAAAAAAACATTATAAAAGATAAAAAACCAACAATATAGAAGTGTTTTTCTTTAGTTTTAATTAGAAGAACACGACACATAGCTCTATGCCAAAACATTTTAAAGCCTCCATTAAAAAGCGACCCATCTACCCAGGAATACACAAGGTCCCAATGTGGAACTTCCAAGCTGACCAATCCCATACTCATTTCTTCCTCTCTTATCCCAGGAGTGTCCTTCTGAGTGGGTGACCTTCCCAGAAAGCAGGCCACCCCTCTTCCCCAGAGCCCACCCGCACCAGAAGGGTGGCATTCTGTCAGCATCAAGGGCCAATGGACGGGTAAGGGCAGGGCTCACCTTGTTGACACAGCTGAAGCCCAGCCCCAGTTCAGCCAGGACCTTCAGCACACCCAGGCTGTTGTTGCACTTGACAGCATAAAAGGGCCGGACTCGTGGCAGGCACTTCAGAAAGCAGAAGTGCTTCCTCACTATGGCACCCAGGTCGGCCACGAAGAAGGCAGCGACCTCACCCTGCACAACAAGAGGTGGATGGATGTGAGACCCCTCCCTGTGCATGCCATCTAGACCTTCCAAGTCCCTGCCCCAGTTCAGTTCTGGCCACAACGCTGTAGCTGTAATGTTTTCTGCTGTTGTAATGTCTGGCATTCCCCACCCCCCACCCCCAGGATAGAAAGCCAACTCCTCAGCCTGGCATTCAAGGCTCTGTGAGCAGCTCCCGTCCACCCCTTCAATGTAGGGACAACTTTGAGCTATGGGCTGGATCATTTTCCCACCTCCAAGTCTTTTTTCTCTGTGAGCCATACTCTCTGCTGACTTTGGCCATCTCAGTCTACCTTCAAGTTTCAGCTCAAATGTTACCTTCCTCAAACCATAAAGTACCTGGGCTTTTAATGTTTTCTGTACGTTTTGTGTTTTCAAAACAGCAGAACTGTATATACATCCAGCTGCTCCAGAATAGGGTCAGTTCCTTGAAGGCAGCAGCTGTGGCCTAGAGCTCACTGACTGTCACATACAGGTGTTCAGTGAAGCCTTGAGGGTCATCCCACTGCCACAACAACTCATACCAGTGGACAACTGGTTATCAAAGACTGGCTGATGGCTGAACGTGTATCAGGCTATAGGTGAAATCATGTTATTTAAACTTTCCCTGGGATTCAATTTCCTTTTCATGCAATACTTTATCAATGATGCCTACTTGGTGTCAAATATAATGCTAGGGGCAGAGGTGGCTAATGAAGCCTTAGTCCTTGAAAGGACTTTAGGCCTGGAAGAGAATGAACCTTAAGTAATCACAAGTCTTTTCAATACACGCTAGGTGGGAGTTTCTGCAAAATGCATTGGGAGCCATGGAGAATGAAAATACAAAATCTTCCTGGAGCAATCAGGAAAAGGCAACATTAATAAAAGCCATGGTAATGGAGCAGATAGCACCTCAGAAATAGGAATAGAGCGTTTCAGCTATGATGAAGCATAATAGAGGTTGTGGGATTCTAAAAGTCCAGAAATGGGACTATGGAAGCAGGCTTGATTTTGTAGCAAGAGGCAACTGCCAAAGAATTCTGATTTTAAGCAAGGCTACCACACAGTTGGAGTGGTAGCCAACTACCACTCCAGGGTAGGAGTTCAGGGGCCTTTAGGGAGATGAGGACCAGACTACAAAAGACATTCTCCATCAGCTCCCTGGAGGGCTATTTAAGTAGGCAGAACTCACAGAGCTAAGTGAAACCTAGAGTTGGGAGGTGAAGGAGGTAGTGAGAGAAGAGGTGAAAGAGGGGGCAAAGGAGAGACTCCCAGGTTTCAGCCTGGAGGGCTGGGTCGATGGTGTGCGTGTTGCTTGTTCATTAAGGCAGGGGATACGGCAGAGCCAGTGGGAGGAGGGATGCAAGAATTAGCGATAAAATGAGCCAGTCTCTTGAAAATAGTGTGGACTGAATAGCCAGTAAGTGAAAAAATAAGATGAGGGCCCTCCCAGAGGAGGGGTTAAGGGCCCACCTCCATTCCCAAGCCCTCACCGTGGCGGCCCGTGGGGCCCCCAGAGTGAGCTCCTCCAGCAGGTCTCGGGTGCTGAAGCCCTCCTCCACCATCACAAAGTCCGATTCACTCAGGTAGCCAGCCATGCCAAGCCAAGCAGGAGTCCGGTCGATGGGCTGGTTGGAACCACTGCCGCTGTCGCAGCCACCGCCTTAGAAAGTATGCAACACACTGCGGGGGTGGGGTGGGGGTACGGCTGGAGGGCAGGCTCCCAGGCTCCCTTTACCTCCCAGGAGGAGGTCTCCCAGTGCAGTCACCCACCACCCTGTCCCCAGCACAAGCGTGGGGATCTTAAATTCTCTGGTAAGGGTGTGCCACGGTCAGGAATCCTAGATCCCATACTGGGACAAGGCATTGTATGCTCAGATGGTAGGCTTGTTAGAACCTCAGTCGCCTATCTGTAAAATGGACGAGTTGTTTTGGAGATCTTTTCCAATTCTGAAATGCTGAGTTCGGAAGAGGGAAAGAATAAGCGAGGGAGCAGGAAGTTTGACTAGCCTGGGTAGGAAAATTTCCAGGGTGCCTCCCACCCCTGTCCTGATCCCGCCCACCCAGAGGCCAGTGGCCACACCAAAGATTCTCCACCCAAAAACGGGAGCTCAGGTTTAAATTCACTCTCTGCTGCAGGAGCAAGGGCAGTCTCCGACCTTGCTCAGTGCCTCAGTTTCCCCATTTGTAAATGGATGGTCCTGACGTGCTAGAATTCTAAGCGTGCATGGGGGCGTCACGTGGTGGGCAGGGTCCGCGAGCTCTCTGGTGAGAACCTACGATCGAGGTTCTAGTTTGGTGACCTCTCTCGAGTGCAGGGTCGAGGTCCCGCCCCCTGAACCCCCTTACCAAGCCCCGTCCTCCTTCGTGGGGGCCAGAGCCAGGCGCGCTGCTAGGGGGGTTCGCCGGTGACCTCGAAACTTGTGCAACACTCCGAGGAGGAGTGGCAGTTGCGGAGCCGAGGCTCCTGCTGAAAGGAGGCAAGAAGGGCACAAGGGGCAGGTCAGCACTGAAGCCGAGGGTGCCCACTCCCCGAGGCTCCCCGAGACTATCCCCCTGCACTCGCCTTAAAACGCATTTACACGGCTTCGGCCCATAGGTCTCCCCAGCGAGTGAATCGGATCCTCCGCCCCTCCGCGCCTCCGCTCGCTCGCTCCCCCCCGGCTCCGGCTCCGGCTCCGGCTCGGGCTCCGGCTCCGGCCCGGCGGCCTGCGCCCCGCGCGCCCAGTAGCCACCGACCCCACGCCCCGCCTTCCACCCGCCGCCCCACTTATATAAGCCACGCCCAAGCCCCACCCCTGGCGTTCAGGCCCCGCCCCCGCTAGCTCCGTAGCCCTGGCAACCGACTGCGGCCGGCCCATTGGTCGATTCGGACATAAAGCATTCAGTTTTACCTGCGCTTACGCCGCGGTACTCCCAGCGGAGCCCTCTCGGTGGCTACCCACGCAGGGAACTCGGAACCGCAGAGTTCTAGTGTCTATGCGGGTAGGACCCTTAGATCCTGTATTTGGGTCCAGGAAACTTTTTCTATCCCTGGCTGAACTCGGTGACGTCTTCTGTCTTCTCTGCCTCAAGGAGTGCTAACTCAACCTCGAGAAACCCAGGTCAAATTTCATCCTTTGTGTTATTTTCTAATAAAATCATTTTCATTTAATGGCTTCTTCCAGCCTTCTTCTCTGACTTCACCAATTCAAAACTCAGCTCAAATATGTTTGGAAGGCGTTTCTTTTTGTGGATTTCCCTGTTTGGGACGATTCCTCTCACCTTTCCGTCTGAATCCGACAAATTTGTAGTCCTCAAGTGAAATGTGTTTCCTCCGAGAAGCTGTCTCTGATTTCAAAGCATTTCTCCTTTTCTTTACGGACAAACTCAGTCTCTGGCTCATCCACCAAAATCCAGTACAATGTCACCGCTCTCTTGCGCCTCCCATGGCTTTTCTAGCCCCAAAATGGAATTAAGAGCATTTGTGTCTAACTAGGTAGACCCGTTGCTCATTTGATTCTTGCTCCCTATAACTGATTTCCCTATAGTTATTTTCCACTTTTTGTCTGGTGACACTTCTCAGCTATTTTGTAACTCCCAGGGACAGGGACTGACAGCTTGACTCTTCAGGGTGCTTAGCACACACAAGAGTGCTCTGGAAGATTCGATAGCTGTGTTACTCAAAAGCTAATTCAAAAATTCATCTGGATCCAGGCATGATGCTGCCCTGTATGCAATCCTCAGTATCACAACAAAACAAAACAAAAAGTTCATCTAGAACAGTTATTCAAGAACAGTCAAGCCACCGTTGGGAAGAAGAAAGAGAACTTCCTCTACCAGATATCCAAAAGTTTTTATTAGGCCACAGACTTTAAAACAGCATGGCTGGGCCAGGGATATAGCACAGCAGCACAAGCAAGTGAAAGGTCGGAGTTTGATTCCTGGTACAAAACAAACAAACCAGTGTGGCACTAGAACAGGAAGACAATGGAAGAACAGAATATAGTCTAATGCCTGATGTAGTGGCACATGCCCGTAATCCCAGAGCTCAGGAGACTGAGGCAAGGGGTTATCTGTGAGTTTGAGACCAGCTTGAGATACACTGTGAGTTCAAGTCCAGCTTGAATTGCAGAGTGAGACACTATCTCAAAAAAAAAAAAAACATAGTCTAGAACAGTCTTGTACACATGATGGGAGAACTTGGTACACAATGCAGGCAGCATTTCAAATCAGTAGTGTGACATATTCAGATCACACTCGTGTGTTCATGCACCTGCCAGTCTATAGACTTTTAAAAGAAGAAACACTTCTTGTCCTGTGTGTCTCTCTAGAACACTCTATGCAACCTACTCAGAACATGCTCATTGGAGACAGGAAAGTGACCAAGAAGTCAGTGGAGGACCATTTTATTCTACCCACCCATATGTGAGTCACACATAACAGCTGAGTGTCTATGGTGAGTCACTCTTCCTGGATGCCTTGAATTCATGCCTGCTGTCTGGCTTGAATTCTCCTTGTGAACTGAAAGCATTCAAACAATTTTTTGGCCCTTCTGCCTGTATGCTTTATCCCTTCTATGCACAGGAGTAGCCTTCAAGAGGCAGCCTGTGAGGAGAGTCAATTGCAGGCTTTTGCTTTAAGAGATTAGTAGTCATTTGCAGGTCACACAATGGAAATAAACATCCTTGTCTTCTCTCCCAAGGAACAAGGTTCTCCTAAGAACAAATATCTACAGATTGGCGTAGGGGTAGATCAAGAAAGCCATGGCATAAAGCTGGAAAGATCAGGCTAAGAGGAGGGGACCACTGGCTCTCATTGAAATCATCCTTTGAGTTGGTTTCAATGGATACTGTGGTATGGCTAGGTCTCACCTGCTTTTCTCATCACCTGATATGTAATAGGCTAAAAAAAAAAAAAAGTAGGTGTATTTTGTATGCTTACTGAATGAATAGGCAAGAAGGAATGAACCAGAATCCAGTCTATTTGTGATCTGTCAAAGATAATATGTAAGCAGAGCAGTAAGATCTATATCCTGAATTGGGTATTGAGAGGCTGTGGCTTTATATTTTTCCCTACTAAGCATGTTATCCCATTGAATTACCATGACAATCCTATGCCTTAGAATCTATAGTAGTTTTCTTTTTACACATGAGAGAAGTTCAGTAACTTGCCTAGGAGTTACACAGCAAGTAGGGATGGACTCCAGATTAAACCTGAATCTGGGCTAGAGGTGTGGCTCAGTGATAGAGTTCAAACCCAAACTTAAACACAAACAAAAATGTTCTATATCTACCTAGAACTGGAAGGTTTGCAAAACTACTTTCATGTCCATCATTTTATTCAGGCTTCCCCAAATTCTACCCATATTGATTTCCTAGGCTGCCAGAACAAACTGCCAATTACTGGTTAGCTAAAACAATGGGAATTATTTTCTCACAATTCTGGTGACTGGGTGTCTGCCATGAAAGTGTCAGCAGGGCCATGCTCTCTTTGATAGTTCCAGGGAAGAATTTTTTCTTCCTTAATCTAGTCTCTATCCTTGGCATTCCTTGACTTCAAGTACATTGCTCTAGTCCCTTCCCGGTCTCTCCCTGTGTGTCTTCACGACATCCTCCCTCTGTATTTGTCTGTCTCTGAGTCCAAATTGTCCTTTTAAATAAAGACACTAGTTGTATTGGTTATGGCCCACCCCAATACCCTCAGTTTAGCCTGACTACGTCTAACAAAGTCCTTATTTCCACATAAGGTCAAATCTGTGGAGGTTAGGACTTTAGTGTATCTTTTGGGAGAAGGAACATAATTCCATCCAAACTGCCACCAAACACTTTCCTTTCATATCTTTGGCCAAGACATAGATGCATGGTGATATATAGCTACAAGGGAGATAGAAAAACATTGGGCTTATTTTTCCCTCACCCACCTAAGCTCAAAATACTTAGAAAGGAGAATTTGAATATTATATGGTAACTACCTCAGCTACAAATAGAGAAGATTATTTTTTCCTTTCAAATATCATTATACATAGTTCAGAATGATTATGAGATTTACTGCATAGGCAGAAGTAGAGAAGTAATAAACATCAATCGTCATGCTAAATGATTACAAACATAATTGCATTTACTCCTTAGAAAATCCTGTGAAATAGGCATTAATTGCTCCATTTTACAGAGACTAAATCCTTTGTCTTAAGTTACACTGCTAGGGAGTAACAGAGCCAGAACTTCACTCTGGTGAGATGTGCCCTGGGGATAGGACATGAAGCCAGAACAAAAAATGTTGAGACCAGGCCAAGAGCAAACAGCAGGAGACCTGAACAGTGTCTAGAATTCAAGGTCAGATCCCAGTTAAACTGACAGAAACAGCACAAATTCCAAGTCACAGATGTGAACTCCTAGAAGGCGTTAAAAAATGAAGGCCCTGTAGTAACTAGAAGTCAGTAACAGAGAAGCAGCCTTAGTTTTATGACTTTTTGAGGCTGGAGCCGTCTACAAATTAAGGATGGAAACCAGTAGTAATGGTAGCCATCATTTATTGAGCACCTATTATGTTCCACTTTATTATGTATTGAATAATAATAGCTAATATTCCATTACTATTGTGCGGGCTTGTTTTAAGATTTATATATAATTTTTAACTCCAAAAGCTTTATAAAGTGTATGCTCTTAGTAACCCCAAATTACAAGGGAATAAACAAGCCTAAATGGGTCAACTAACTTGTTCAAAGTCATACTGCTACTAAATAACACCACTATATTACATACATTTTCTCCATCTTCACAACAAGACAGTAAGTCAGGACTTAGTAGTATTCCTCAATGGAAAAATCAGGCCAAGAGAAGCCAAGTGATTTTCCCAAGATCACACAGTAGGTAAGTGCCAGAGCCTGGACTCAAACTCATGGCTCTGCATGCCTAGGGCTATACAGAAGAAGACCCTGAAGCCCCAACCCTTGGAATCCCACATTCTAGTTATCAGTGAGGTGTCTGTGCCTCCCTGACCCACTGACAGGCAGGTAGAGGGCTGGTCTGCACCAACACCAAGGAGACAAATTTCAAATACATTGATTTAGGAGGTGATTGCATTCACAGCCCTCCCCTAACAGATGTTAAAACCCATAGTTTGGATTTTTTGTGTGTTTATTTTCACTCTCTTTTAAGCAATGCACATGTGAAAACATAATAATAGTGTGTGACAATTTAGGAATTCACACTTTCCCTTAAGGTAGACCTGAGTCATTTCTAACAAATGTGATGAGAAAACAATGACCTCACACAAGGAGGAGGAGGAGGAGAGGCGGAGGAGAAAAAGAAGAAAACATTTAGCCAGAAATACCACTTTCTGAAGCCAGTATCTGCAGAGCCGCCTGAGAATGGAATGAGAAGGCGGCAGCTTTCCCGTGTTCTCCAGTGGTTCTCAGGCAGCAGAACCACCAGGGGGCCTTGTCAAAACACAGAGTTCCTGATTCGGGAGGTCTAGGAGACTCTAAGAATGTGCATTTCTGACAAATTCCCAAGTTTTGCTGATGCCACAGATCCAAGAACCACACTTTGAAAACCCCCAGCCTAAAGGAACTTGAAGCAGGACAGGCAAAGAGTTCAAAGCTGTGCATCTTTGAAAGAAAGCATCAGACTCTCATCCAGCAGAGACACAGGATGAAGCAAAAAAACAGCTCAGACTAGACAGCAGCACTTGACAGGAGAAGCACAAACTACAGGGGCATATGTGCTTATGTCTTAAGAGAACTCACTTTATTCACCTGTGAAATGGGGCTATAAGAGCACCTACTCCCTAAGTTATTCATGAGCATGTAAAAACCTGCTGCCTATGCCTGACACATGGATTAGCAATGTATTCCAAGTAACAGGTGTTAGTATCACTGTGCTTGGCCAAGATGCAGAATGATATCAGAGTGATACAGCCAGGGCAGGACAGGAGAAACCTCCTCCTGGGAGGTTTTGGAGCCTGAGCTGAGGAACACCCAGCAGGCGACAGAGGCTCAGGAACTGGGTCAGTGTGATGCAAGAGGGTATTCCTGTCCACTCTTGGTGGGATTTCATGGAGCAGAGGCTGATGAGCTGAGCACCAAGCCATATACGCTTGACCCAGGCAGGGCCTCTTTCTAAGTTACCATCATAGTCATGTTCTCTTTAAAAGCAAAATAAAATAAAATAAAAATTGAAAACCTCTTCTCTTGAGTTGGGCATAGTAGTGCGCACCTGTAATTCCATCTGTCTGTGAGGCTGAGGTGAGAAGATTGCAAGTTGGAGTCCAACTAAGGCAACTTAGAATTGTCTCAAAAAATAAAGAGGGCTGGACTGGGGATGTAGCCTAGTGGGCAGTGTCCCTGGACTTGATTCTCAGTACCACTAAAAATACGTATTTCACTCACCCCAAGAAAGAGTAGACTCAGAGCAGGATCCTGTGCTCCCTGCACGCTGCCCCCTGCCCCACACTTAGACACCTCACCCAAGCACTTCTGGCTAACTGACCAGCTAGAAATCCAGAGCTAGTGGTTAGGGAATAGGATCAGAGGTCCTAGGGAATAGGATCTAGGTCCAGAGACTCCACTCCAGAGGGAGCCAGAGCATGTTGCCTGTCTCTGAGGCTTCCAACCCTGCCGCTGCCCTGAGAAACCCAGAGTCCTTTCGGTACATCTCCTTCCCGGAGGCAGCTCGGCCAAGACTTCAGTCACATGGATCCAAGGGATCAGACCTCTTGCCTTTGAATCCTGGCTCCTTTTCATCTGAACCTCATTTTCTTCATCTGTAAAGTGAGGACAATAAAGTTACTGTTATTAACTTCATGAGGTTGATGTTGTGAGTGAAAAGATGACCGACCATGTGATACAGTCTGAATGAAGGTGCCTCCCAAAAAATTCATGTTGGAATCTAACATCTGCTACGTAATTCAAAGAGTAATTGAAAGATGCAGTGAATGTTTAAATAATAACTTATTTTTTTTGTCTTCTTCCTTTTTATCAGTACCAGGGATCGAACTCATGACTGCCTGCTTGCAAGGCAGGGGCTTATGCCGCTGAGCTAAATCCTCAGCCCCTAAATAATAACTTGTAGTAAAAGACATTACCAAAAGCAATGAGCTAAGTGTGTTCAAAGAGAGAGCATTTTTGAGAGGTATTAATGACAACGTATCTTTTGCTATAATAAAATTTGTAATTTACACACAGTATTTTTGATAATCCCACTGATCAAAAGAATGCAGCAATTTCTGTCAAACAAAAAGCTTAGCAGGTGTCTTTACCCACCTTATTCACTGGATCTGGCACCACGTGACTTCTGGCTCCTCCCCAAAGTCAAAATGACCATGAAAGGTTCATCCAGGACCGTGAGGTAACCCAGACAGGACAACTAAAGACATCAAGAAATAGTACTTCAGAACTGCTTCAGAAAGTGGTAAGAATGATGGGTTATATGCGTTTAAAGGGCAGGGAGGTGTTTTGAGAGACATTAACTTTTGTTAAAACTTAAACATTCAGCATATTTCTGGATCACACCTCATAGTAAGAGGGAGGGCTTTGGAACGTGATCCCTCATGAATGGGGTGAGCACCTTTATAAGAGACTCAAAGGAGCTTCCTCACTCCTGTCACATGAATATGCAGCAAAAAAATGCTATCTTTTTAAAAATAACATAATAGTTTTACACTTAACATAATACTGTACTCTATGAAAATGTTACTCATTTTAATATAAATGGTCTTCTAAATATTAGATATCTTCTTCATCTCAGTGTCAACGTAACCCTTTATTTTTCCCTCTTACTATATCAGATATACTGAATAGGGTTTTTTGTTTGTTTGGTTGGGGTTTTTTTCTGAAGTTTTTTGAACTTTTCCCCCCAAAAGATAAATATTTCAATTTTAAGCTGTTTGATCTCTAAGTACATTGTTAACTTGAGAGATGCAATAAAAGTCTGATAAAGAAAAAGCATGAAAAAAAGCATGTGAGTCAGGAGGTGGGGATTACAATTGAACAGTGGTAATTGCCTGGGGATTCTAGGAAAGAACATCTTTCTTCCTATTTCAGATGCTTGGAAAATTCTGCAACTGTGAAATATTCATGCAAATTTCAGCCATTATACTGGGGCCCCATTTAGAACTCACAGATACAAATAATAGGCTGCATGTTTTTCAGTGTATTATTTGTTGTAAAGAAAATATTTTTACCACTTAAAAATCTCAATTTGTTTCCATATTATAGAAACAACTAAGAAGGTGAAATTGATAGTGGATGGGATTTTTGACACTGGAACAACAGAAGTGAGCCTGCATTAAGTATTGTGAGCACACACACTCTTGCACAGACAAAGCTTTATTGAGGAAACAGGGTAGGAGACTTCAACTGAAGGAAGTCATCATCAATGGAGAGATGAACAAAGCCACTTACAGAAAAAAGAGAACAGTGAACTTTTACTGATCTCCTGGGGTAGGCTAAAAGTGCAATGCATTTCCACTGGTCAGAGGCATAGTTTCAAAAAGATGTTTGCTTTTCGTGATCACCAGTGGTCATGATTAACTTGTCCCAGGTCTTGCAGTTGGTGCCCTTTTCCTGTATGTTGTAGTCAGGGGTTGTGAGGAGAAAATTAAAATCAGGACATGAAGTTTGTAATATTATTTATGATGGTCATTCAGAGTTAACACAAAGTGCAAGAAATCTATCCACAACACCAAAGACATAGAATATTTAGCCAAGGTTCCAAATCCCACAGCATGTCCTACATGAGTCCAGATGAAGACCCAGAGCTCATGACGATGCCTCTCACAAGTCCAACTGGAGGTCTAGAGCCCCCAAGAAGGACTCATGCCAGTCTCTTCTACGGATCCATGCTGGGAAGCAGGTCAGCAGTGGAAGCCAAAAAGTCCATGCCAGCGGGGTGAAGGAGTTATGCTAACAGCTTAAGGGTTCTATGCTGGAGCTGAGAAGTCACACTCAAAACAAAGACCAGGGCTGTCCTGAAGAGCACCACAGTCATCCTCAGTGACATGGAGACCCCAAGCTCCTCCAACGATAAGCACAATTGAGTACATGCCAGTAAGACAGTGTGAGGAGTTTATCCTGGAGATTAAGCGGCACACATCTTCCCCTCTGGAACGAGGAAACAATGCTCGATTGTGAGGACTAGAGCTTCTCCAGGAGAACCAGTGGTTCAAACAGCAACAAGTAGGAGAAACCATATTGCCTCAATACTTCAGCACCTCTCTTCTCCTTCTCCATGCCTCTAATTAAACTGACAACTTTCCTCAGGTGGAACATCTACGCTCAGCGCCCTGCTGATTTAATTCAGCTGGCATTAAGTTGACCGCCAGTTTTTTTTTTGTTTTTTTTTTTTTGCTTTTTTTTTTTGCACTGTCTATCGAACTCACTACCTTGCGCTTGCCAGGCAGGCAAAGCTTATGCCACTGAGCTAAATCCTCGGCCCCTGACCACTAGTTTTTAATCCATAGCACTGTACAAACATTCTGGCCTTGTGGCTGGTCCAGGCCTTATGACAGAGCTAAAGGATTTTAGGTGTTTTGGTGTTGCAAAGCCACCAAAATGGGTAGAAGAAACATACACCAGCTCCCATGGGTAATGGGCCAAATTAACTTTGTATTATAGTCCTGGACAAAACATTTTTTAAATGATCAACATGTCTGTGTGCAGAACTGAGTAAAATATGACCCAAAGGTTAAGATGGCAAAGGGAACAGATAGAAATTGACAGAATAGCCAAGACTTTTATCCCATATTAAACACCCATCAGTTGCCTGTAGGCTCAAGTGAAAAATCAGTGAAAACATCATCAAAAGTGATCGTCAACTTTCTGCAAAGTAACCGAGCCAACTATTTTACCACACAGGTTAGGGGTGATATCTACAGCAAAGCTGGTGGGAAACTAATAATATATTACCCAGCTACAACACCTTCAAAATTGGGGTTTTTTTTTAAAGTCAATTGAAAGCCAATGAAACTAGAGAGCTTATTTAGATTATTTTTCCCCAGTCAATCTCCTCATTTTGTATAAATGTTCTGCTTCGGTGGTTTCATCAGAGTCTCCTGAGAAATCTGTTGAAAGAAAAACAACATGCCATGTATAAAAGGGCGACATCTTACTGAGCTCAGGGATTTATTTTGTCATTCCAGATTTTTGTCCCACCAAGGTGGTCCCTAACTGTCTCGAACCACCCACTTACTGTTTCCTGGGGATGTTCGGTGACCAAAACTCAAATTTAGCCTCAGAAGGCCATTCAAAGTCATAGCTGTCCATTTCTCTCTTGTACATATACCGTACCTGTATGCAAGCACAAATGCTTGTAACGGTGAGAACCGTCTAACAAGAGCAACTGGGCCTCCACCTTTTTCTGCTTCAACAACAGGCAGCATCAAAAGCAATGAATGAGGACTAATTGCACTTGTCTGGAACACAAGGTCAAAGCATTGAGATCCTGAGAGCTGATGCTTTCCAAGAAATGGTGTGTATATGGTTCTATCTGATTTGAAATACTCCTTTCCTGGCTGGGGCTCCAGCTGCCCAAGCTAAGAGGCCCTGTGCAGCACCAATTTCCAGGATGCAGCCATTTCAGACACGGCCAGAAGGTGCCCTCTTTGAAGTAAAAAACAACCATATGCACTCCCTCATTTTGATCATTTACAGAGTGTCTCAGTCCACAACCAAAACAAGAGTGTGCATGCTTAACACCCAATATTACCATCATTCATTTGTACTGGCTTAGATGGGCATTTGTTCCCTATTATCTGTTCTTGCTTGACACTTGCTGAGTACAGTCTAGTCACAGGATTGTGAATATTACATGGATGCTCCTAGGCTCAACATGTCCAAAATCTCACTCATCAGCTTATATTTTCCAGCTCATGCCCCACTCAGCAAGCAACCTTGACATCCTCTCTGACACTTCTTCGGTTTTCTTATCCTTTTCATTCCTCGAATGTTTCTCAAGTCTGCTTCCGTTTACCTAGTACTCTGTACCAAGACACTCCAGACTGCCATGGCCTAAAAATGGCTCACGGTTCTATGGACTGCCCAGTCTCTACTAGGCAGTTTTTCTGCTGATCTCATTCACATTCTGCTATGAATTAGGTATCTGGATCCCTCCAAAATTCATGTTTTAGAACTTAGCTCCCAGGTCATGGCATTAAGAGGTGGGACTACGGATGCAATTAGACCAGAAGGGCCATGCTCTCGTGGATGGGACTAATGGCCTCATGAGAGGCTTTGAAGAGCTGCCTTTCCCCTTCTGTCCCTTCCACCATGTGAAAACCCCTAGATGGCACCATCTGTGAGGGAATGGCTTCAGTGGATACCAAACCTGCTGGTGCCTTCATCTAGGATTTGCCAGCTCCAGGACTATGAGAAATAAGTTCTGTTGCTTACATATTACCCAATCTCAAGTATTTGGTTAAGAAATAGTCTCTCATGTGGTGTAATCAGATGGTAGCTGAGATTACAGTCATATAGAAGATCAACAGTGACTGAGATAACTGGGTTTCTGTCATAATCTGCCACATGGGCCCAAAACAAAGGGGCTGGCCTTCCTCCTAGTGGAGCAGGGCTCCTGTGGAGGGCTTGCCGGGATATCTTTGTTTTGTTTTTCAAAAGGGTGTCATTATGTAGTTTAGACTGTCCTTAAACTCACTAGGTAGCCCAGGCTGGCCTTGACTCACAGCAATCCTCCTGCCTCAGCCTCCACAGAGTTAGGATCACAGGTATACACCACCACACCTAGTCATTTTAAAGCTTAGGCTCAGTGCCAGTGTGGTATCACTTCCTCTGCATTCCTTTGGTTCATAAGGGCACAAGGATGTCCTGGATTCCATATGGGTTGGGACTACACAAAGCACGGATATTGGGAGGCATGCTTTATTGGGAATCACATTTGGAGACTAGCTGCACAAAATCTATCCACTTCCTACATGTTTATGCCTTGTTCCTGCCCAGGTCATCTTCCTCTCTAGGCTGGAGGTCTAAGTAGTTCCCCTGCTCTACACTGCCCCCTGCCATCTAATCTCTGCATTGCAACAGAATGTTCTTAAAAATATCAAAAGGCAAATTTAATCAGTTTTACCTATTTATAGAGCTGGGCGTAGCGGTGCACACCTGTAATTCCAGAATGCACTTGGGATGAGGAAACAGGTGGATTTCTGAGAGTTTGAAGCCAGTCTGGGCTACAAAGTGAACTGAACTGCATAGTGAGACCTGTTGCTCTTGGGACAGTCTCAGAGCCTTGAGGCCTTCCATCCAGAACTGCACTTCAGCCTCCCTCGTCTCTCTCTGCCTGCTCCTCACTCTCCCTGCCACCATTTTAGACTCCAGCTCATTGAGATCACTATCCTCCTTCCATTCCTGGGGCCTTTGCATTTGCTATTGTCTCTGTCTGGAATATTTTTCTCCACTTCTTCACTTGACCAGCCCTCCTCATCCTTTAGGCCTGAGGCTCCCCTGACACTTCGGACCAGTCAGCATGCATTTCTGCTGCAGGTCAAAAGAAACTGCTCAAACTCGCTCCAGCAAAGAGGGCATCTGTTGCTTCGCGTAATTAACTCATTGAACAATGAAAGTTCAGGCATGATGGCACATCATGTAACCCCAGCACTTGGGAAGCTGAGGCAAAAAGAGTGCAAGGCAAGGCCCATTTAGCTATATAGTAAGACCCTGTCTCAATGACAAGCAAATGACTTAGATATGAATTAGACCCAAGAGCTAAAAAATGTCATGGGGAATCTGATTCAAGTCTCATCAATGTCTTCCTCAGGATTGGCTTCCTCTCCAGCCAGTCTCCTTACACCGCTCAGCCCTGGCCCAGCTTCTTGGTCCTGTTCTGTGATGGGTCGGGCCTGGTTCCTAAGCACCCCCCTCCTCCAGCTGGAGGATGGCTTACTGTACGGAATAAAAGGGATAAAGAGATGGTTCCACAAAGGAAGAATCAGAGCTGTCGCTTTAAGTGGGCCCACATTCTCGGCAGGGAAACTTTGACGAATCACTTTTCTTTGTTAGCACCCAAGTACTCTGGTACCCTAGGATCTTTACACAGCTACTTCCTCTGCAAGAATGTTTTCATTCTTTTTTTTCTCTGTCTGTCTGTTTTTGTTTTTGGTCTTTGAGTTAGGATCTCACTATGCCATTCAAACTGGCCTTAAACTCACTTTGTAGCTCAGGCTCATCTCAAATTTGCATTGATCCTCCTGCCTTAGCTTCCTGAGTCTTTTGTTTTCAAGTAATATAAATCCTTTTTTAAAGAAATACTTTATTTTAAAATTCATACAGAAACTTCCAAAAATAACACATACCTTCACCCAGATTCCCCCAAATATTAACATCTTAACAGTTTGGCTTTCTTGTTCTTTCTCTCTTTTCACATATGTTTATATATGTATGTGCACATACATGATACACCTCTATCAATATCTATACTACCTGTCCAGCCATCTGTCTCTATCATTTATTTTTTCTGAATCATTTAAGAGTAAGTTGCTGATGTAATGCCCCTTTACCCCAGGCACGTCACTGTATATTTTGCCTGGATTGCTTTTCTTCCAGGCGTCTACACATTTCATGCTGTATGTGGTACACTTTCGCTAAGTTTAAGCCTTTGCTCAAATGTCACCTTACCACAATTTCAACCCACCCTTATGCATGCTTTTGATTCTCTTCTTTTCACCTGTTCCTCTTCCCCAGAACTTGTCACTTTCTAAGATGCTTTAGAATTTTCAGAGTGAGTCTATTTTAAACTTCCTAAGTACAAGGGTATGTGATCTTTTTGATCACTGATATATCCTATTGTGGACTGAAAATTGATGGTCAACTTACACACCAGCTGAACTGAATCCGTGTGGTGCTGAATGTAGATGGCCCATCTGAGGACTGTTGCCAGCATAAAAAGGAGACCTGGAAAGGAAGAGTAGTGTTGTGGATCCTCCTACGTGCTTTTTAGTGCTGTTGGTTCTCCTGTTGCTGTGGATTCTCCTGGAGGAGCTTGCTGAGCTTCTTTCCTGATATGAACTTGGCTGTTCACATTATCAAAGGAGCTCGGGACCTTGTTGCTGAGAATGGCTGCAGTTCACTTTCGGAGGGCTCTGGTCCTTACTTTGAGCATCGCTTCCTGGCTCCTGAAGGGAAGATGGTGCGCTGTTCAAATGTCCAGGAGAAGCTTGTCATGCTGGCTTCCTGATATGAAGCCAGTTCTCATTGTTGGAGGAGCTCAGGATCTCCTTGTCACCAAGGATGGCTGTGGTACTTTTCAGGGGAGCCCTGGTCCTTATGTTGAGCATTGCTTCTTGGCTCCAGTGCAGAATACTTAACCTACTGGCACAGATCCTTTGTTCCGCTGGCATAGACTTTCTTGCTTCCACCACTGATCTTTGGCCTTCCCAGCACAGATCCATGAAACAGACTTCAGGAGTCATCGTTGTGGGCCCTAGACCTCCTGTTGGACTCATGGGGGACATTGTCAAGGCTATAGGTTTAAGCTGGAGTTATGTAGGACACTGCTGTGGGACCCAGGCTCTTGACTGGATTCTCTAAGTCTTTAGTTTGTGGACAGAGTTCCTGTACTTTTTTTTGTATTTGACTCGAGTGACTACCATAAAATAATACTATAATTGTATGTCTTGTATTGTCTTCTTCTCCTTGCAAACCCCTAACTATATCCCAATTTTGTTTTCTTTTCGTTTCTTTTTTATAGTACTAGAGATTGAACCCAGGATCTTCTCAGCGAGCTACCTTCCAAGCCCCCATCCCCTTTTTGTATGTTTTATTTTGATACAGGATCTCACAAAGTCTCTTAAGTTTGGCAGGTGAGGCTCAAGCTCAGAATCATCCTCCCTCATCCTCCAGAGTGCTTTGGTTACAGGCCTGCACCACCAGAGCTGGCCTAAATTTCTAAAACAATGCTTGATATATAGCAGATGGTCCAAAAGTAGTTACTGAGTTAATTAATTGCTGATGCAACCCAAGGTCATGGTGAGTAGGAGATTCAGTGCTTTCATCAGCTGCTGCCCTCGGTGCTCTTCTGTAACATCCTCTGGTATAGCCTAGGTCCTCAACTGCTCCATCTAGGATTCTGCTTTCTATATCTTTTAGCCATCATATGGTTGACCTAAGGAAAAAATTGTGAGATCTCAGATGTTTCATTTTGTTTTGAGATAGGATCACATTGTGTACTTCAGGCTGGCCTTGAACTCACTTTGTAGCCCAGGCTGGCCTCAAACTCACAGTGATCCTCCTGCCTCAGCCTCCCGAGTGCTGGGATTACAGGTGTGTGCCACCACACACAGTGAGATCTCACTTTTGTCATTGCTTTTGACTTCTCCGTTTCACTCCTTCCTCCCACTTCAAATCTACTTTTTTTTTTTAAACAATAGGAAGAATTCACTGAGAGAAAGAAAGCTTCTGCCTAAGAGGGACAGGAGGGAGCCCAGATAATGAGTTGCCCACCAACCCTGCTTCTCAGGGGTGTTTACTGAACAAAGCCATGAGGGGAGGGGGGCTCAAGGTGGGACAGAGCTATGATGAATCAGTACGATTACAAGAATACTTGCTAAGGTAATAATTGATTCAGTGGAAAATCACAAGATGGGTCTGAGATGGGCCGAGACTATGGTGAACCAGTAAAGGTTACAATAAGCACAGTCACTTGGGTAATATTGACTAGTTGGATTTCATGTCTACTTTTTTTTTTTTTTTCTTTTTCTTTTTTATTGATACCAGGGATCGAACTCACGACTACCTGCTTGCAAGGCAGGCGCTTATGCCGCTGAGCTAAATCTCCAGCCCCTCATGTCTACTTTTTGCCCTGACATGTTCCTCTCACTCCCTTCTTGTGAGGTAGGAGGCGCAGCAGAGCCTGCCTTGGAAAAGTCACTTCCCCCTCAGGCTCTCAGTCCCGCCTCTCTCACTCCTGTGATCTCCGAGACTCTGATAGCATCTGCCAGTCTCTTTATACACGCTGTAGTGAATCCAGGAAGAGAATGGTAGGCGTTTCGCTAACGGCAGCGTGTGGCTTGTTCTCCTGTGAAAGGAATCATAGGAGATCAAAGGTGAGAAAAGTGTTGTCTGTGGTTGCTGCTTCACTGCTACTCAGTTTGAGAACTAGGTAAGTGTTGATTTCCATCCAAAGCTACCATGACACTGAAGCTCTGAAATTTGCTTCAGTTTTCTGAATCCTGTGGACTAGGGGATTTACTGATGTAAGTGTGGTCCTGGGTGGCAGCAAGGCCTGCTGGATCTTTGCAACTTGGGTCAGAGAGAGGGCCATATCTGTGAGTTGAGACAGAAGTGACTTCATCCTGGCTGGAATATTCCTGATTTATCTTAAGCTAATACCAAAGAACCAAGCACATCCCTAGAACGATGGTCCAGTTGTAAAGTTCCACATACCACTTTCATGGTTTTGTCTATTTATAATTTTCTGAGAAACTAGGAAGGAAAAACCAACTAGAGCTATTCTGAAGGAATCATGGCAGCTGCAGTCATGTCAAGGTGAACCCACACAAACAGTAAACAAACAAAAAACACAGGCAAAGCACTTTGTGCATCCCCCGATAAACAGACAATATTCCCAAACTAGCCACTGTCACTGGCTTCTGGGCCCTGGGTAGACTCCTGCTGCAGCTGAGGATCCATGGGCAGGGATCAGGGAACATTCCCGAGTCCTCCCTGCCATACAGGTGTGCTGTTGGACCTTGCATGCAGTTACTGGGGGACCATTCAGAAGATAGGGGTCTAGAAACACTAGTTGCTGAGATCTAGACAGAGCTTCCAACCCCTTATCACCCCATCTCAGAGGCTGAGCCCAAAAGTCTGAGTCACAGAAAGCATTTAAAAGTTTCTGGAAAAATCATCCAGGCCAGGAGAACTTTGAGTATTTTTCCCCACACATTTATTTAGTCTATTGAAATATTATATCACTTATTGCTTCATAACAAATAACTCCAAAATGTAATGGCTTAAAACAATAAATATTGGTTGTTTCACATAGTCTCTGAGTCAGAAATCTCATGAGTTTGTCCTCAGACAGTCAGCTAAGACTGCAGACATCTGAAGGCTTTATCTGGGGCTGAAGGAGCTGCATGTAGCTCACTTACGTAACTGTTGGCAAGAGTTTAATTTTTTGCCATGTGGACTTTTCTACAGGGCCTCCTCCAGGGAAGGGTGGGGAGACAGAGAGAAAGACAGAAAGAGAGAGAGAGAGAGAGAGACAGACAGACAGACAGAGACAAGACAGACAGACAGAGAGACAGAGAGAACTGCAATGTCTTCTATAGCTTAATCTCAGAAGTGACACTCCATCTGCCATATTCTGTGGGCCACACAGACCAGCCTTGTACAACATGCGTGGGGATCATGTAAGGCATGGTAAGTGTCATTGGGACTATTTCAAATGCTGCTTGCCATAGGTATAATTTACATACAATGACATTCACAGATCTTCAGTGTATAGTTTGACCAGTTGTAAAAATGGAATATTCTTTAAACCCACACCTCTGTGAAGCTTTGACCATGTCCATCAGCTCAGAACCTCCTTTCATGCTCCTCTCCAGTCAATCCCATTTCACTCCAAGCATCAAGCAATCTTATTTCTATCCACATAAAATCATGGTTTTTCCTAGCCTAAAATGGGATGAACCTGGAACCATATGCTATGGACTCTTTCATCTTCTGCCTACTGATTTGGGATTCATCCATGGGTTATTCTTTCAAAGGTTTCTTCCATCTTACCACTGAGTTTTGTATTTTTCCCACCCATGTGTGACCTCACCCTTTCTAAACGTACCCGCTAACAGACACCTCGTAGTTTCTCCTCATGCTTCTCCTGCTACTAGACTGGGACCTGCTCAAGGACAGAGGTTGTGTCTCATTTATTTCTGGATCCCTAACATGAGCTCAATGCCAGGCAAAAAGAAAGTTCTGGGAAATGTCACCTCCTGGGACTTGGGAGTACAGCATTACGGGAAGGAGGAGTCAGCAGGGCACTGGCTGGGCACCAGCAGGAGACCAGTGTCCACAGAACCCATGAGCTCAAAGGGATCTCCAACTAGATGTTCCAGGCCAACAAACAGGCTTTTTCCCTGGGTTCAGCCTTCTGGATAGTAGAAAGCTCAGTGGTCAGGGACAGGCTAAAAAGAAAGTAAAAATCTATTCTGTCTTGCTTCTCTATACCTTTCACTCTAAGTGTGCACCTGACAGCCCCAACCCTTAGGGTGGAGTTTTGCAGCCCCTTGCTCCTATGAGTATAACTCCCCCAGCCCACCCTCTCACACTGTTTATTCTGGCTTCAATCCCAGAAGGTCCCTGAGGAAAACAGGGCTGAGGCTCTTATTTATAGGCTTTTGGGAATCCCAAAGCCTCTAGATCATGGATGTAGGGGTCAGAGCTGTCACTGAATCCCTGCCCTATCACCTTGCGGCTGTATGACCTTGGTCCTCCTATACCACTTCTGTTAAATGGACTCATCATTCTGAGCTGGAAGATGGATGTAGGAATAATGGAGGTAAAGGGCTAAAGGCAAAGGTAAAGCACAGTGACTGGCAGAGAAAAGTTGGAGTGACCTAAAGGGATGAGATGTTAGATGTTAGACCTTCCCCATTTTCCCACAAAAGTAGAATTTATACCAGTATCCACAACTAAGGATAAAAGGCGTCCCAAACCCAAAAGGCTGCTGGCTCTGCTCAGAGCTTGATAAGAAGTGCCATTTCAGCAGAACTAGCTCTACCCACAGTGTGGGAGAGTGCAGGGACTGTGAAAAGAAGTCACTTGTCCCTCTGTCCCTTAGCATGGATTGGCCCCTAAGCAGGGTAGGTGTGGCCAAATGCAGTGGGCAAAGATGGCTGTAATATCTGTATGATCGCGCATCCTAGCCTCCAAGCGATTCCAGCCCCCAGACATTTGAGTCTTCCTAGCTAACACCCAAACATCACAGAGCAATGTGCCAGTTGTCTGTTGTCATGTAACAAGTTACTCTTCCACACAGCAACTAAAGACAAGTATTCATCAACTCACCCAGCTTCTGATAGTGAGGAATCCAGGAGTGGCACATTTGGGTGATTCTGACTCAGGGCATCTCACAAAAAATACATTCAAGCTGTGAGCCAAGCTGCAGTCACTTTGAGGATGGAGGGTTCATTTCCAAGTTCATTCACACGCCCATTCACAGGATGTCTCCGTCTCTCTCCAGATGGGACTCTCCACAAACAAGTGTCTTCATGACTTGACAGCTACCTTCCCCCAGAGTGAACCATCCAAGAGAATCACTCATGAGTGACATACTGGGCTGGTCTGTTTTCTGTTGTTGCAACAAAATACCTGAAGCTGGATGCTTTTTAAACAAAAGAGATTTAGTTCATAGTTCAGAGGCAAAAAGTCCAAGACCAGGAAGACCCCACCTGCTTAACCTCTGGTGAGGCCCTTGTGAGATGCATTATAACAGGAGGAATGAATATGAAAGAGATCTTTTAGCAAAATATAAAGCTAGAGGGATTTAGGCATAAGCTTATCCTCTATAACAATTTCTTTCTTGGAAGAACTAACTCATTCCACAAGACCTTTCTGAGGGCAGTGACACCATGATCTAATTCCCTTCCACTAGGACTCACCACTCAACTCCTCCACACTGAAGATCATGCTTCCAGCTCATGAACATTTGGGGAGATAATCAACCACGTTCAAACCATAGCACTGACTATTACTTCTACCATTTCCTATTGGTCACACAAACCAATATCCTATGGACGAGGACTTCCCAAGGGTGAATACCAGGAGGCAGAATCCACTGGGAGCCGTCCTAGAGGCCACCTTCTAAGTAGAATCTCTCCTATGCTTAGCCTAATTCCTGGCTCAGACTCCTTAGGCATGATAAAATAGTGATTGTCTTTTGATGCAAAGTTTGAGGTGGTCTGTTACACAGATGTAGGTAATTTGATCAAAACTAAATGAATTATTCCTCTGGTTTAGGGTGCCAGTAGAGGGCGTCTGACTTCTCGTTGCTTGACATGCACTTTGAGCAACTGAACATAACAGCCACCCTACCTCGATAACCGAAATAGGGCAAATGGCATTGAAGAGAGAAGGCCGAGGAAGTAACCAAGTGGTGAGTGGGCACGGAGAGGTAGAAAGGTGGATCTCACCAAGCCCACAAGCCATGGTTGGAGCTGCAGAGAGTAGATGTGACTGGGGCAGCTGGCCTGCTGGGGCAAACAGATGAATGGTGAAACCTGAGACCACCAGCAGGGCACCTAGCCCTTTTTCAGCTTGGCCTGTAGAGAGATCCCTCCGTAAGAGTTCCCCAGTACATACACAGGAGCTACATCTACAGACAACAAGCCAAGCAGCTTTCAGCCAACAGACAGGAAAACAGACATCTTCCAAGCTATGAAGACAGAGTCAGCCAAGGGGGAGCAAGGAACATGCAGAGAAACAAGTTCTTTCTTTCTGATTCCTGCCCAGAAGAGGGAAGAGCAGAGAGAAAAGGCCCCATCCATCTCTCCAGCCTCAGGTCCTACCTTTTTGGACTTTGAATCCAGTGGAAGTTGACCTTTGGAAATGAGGAATACTGGAAACAATACGCTGTGTTAGTAACTAAAAGTCACTGAAAAGCTTTAAAACTGGTGCCAAATGCTCATCAGGAAAGGGAGACAGCAGAAATTATTTTTTAAAAACTGATATTTACTTTAAGGTGTTGATAGTCTCTAATCAAACCAATTCTAGGAATGATCATTATTACTGTCCTTGGCTCCTCCTCTTTCACTCTTAAGCATGTATTGTATGCCAGGCATTGTCATAGACATGGTCCCCAGGATTCTGTGTTGAGCAAAATAGACTTAGTCCCTGTCCTTATGCATTTATGATCTACTTGGGAAGGGAGACATTAAACAGCTAATCCCACAGGTATAATTTCAGGCTACAATAATTATAGTTAGTTAAAGAATAACTGACTGATTGCTATGTTCTGTCTATTCAACTTCCAGGTATCTCCTAAGCCTTCCCCTACCCTGCTCATCCCAGACATACCTGCCCTCGTTCAGGCCCCAGTGTCTCTCATTTCGGTTGTTTCTTTGGCTTTGATCTCTTACCATCTAGCCATCCTCCACCCCTCCCCAGAGAGAACATAATAAAGCATAACAAAAGACAGACAGCTAGTCATCCCTCAGCAGCCATTCTTCCTTTAATCATACAGCCTTTCCTTTTAGCTGAGCAACACGTCAGTCCAGAATAAGGACTACATTTCCCAGGATCCCAGCTGCTAGTTGTGGCCATGTGACTCACTTGTGACCCAGGCAGTGTGAATGATGGTGATGCCTGCAATTCCAGTTCACATCTTTAGAGGGGAGGGGTGTCCTCCTACAGCCCTTTTACTCCTGCCGGTTGGGTAAGATGCAGAAGTGGAGCTGCTACCCTGACTGTCTTGAACCTCAAGAACAAAGCTGTATTGGGAATATCAGAGCAGCCAGCCAAAAGGAGCCAGAGCCATTGACATAGGAGGCACTATATTGACACTCATTTGCCTACCAGAGTTTTTGTATAGGCAAAAAGTCAACTTCTATCTTGTCTAAATCATTGTTATTTTAGAGGCTCCATTATAGTACTTGAGCCTGTTTCTTAAATAATAAATGCCTCAATTCAATACCCATCCAGTGGCTCCTTTGTCTTCAAGCACTTAAACTGAGCTCCTTCAGCCCCTGTCAGTCTAGTCTTTGACCTTATCTCTAGCCCCTCTTTAGGTTACACTCCTTGCTTTAGCCAAGCAACTCATACTGGTGTACTGTACCTCCAAGTCTTTGCTTAAATTGTTTCTTCTGCCCAGAATGCCTTTCTTCTTTCTTTGCTACCTCCTTCTCACTCATCTTTCAGGATTCAGTCCTGTCCTTTAAAAAGTTATGCTAGAACCCTGTCCTTGCCCGCACCCTGGATTATGTTGTCTGCCCCTGCTAGATGCGCCCTTGCACTTTGTGCCTATTTCTCTCATGTTGACTAGACTCTAAATGTCAAGAGCAGAAGGACAATCTCAGTCTTCCTTATACTTACTGCCCAGTCCAATAAATGTCCAGCCCCTAGCAGAACAGGAGAGCTTAATAGATATGCTGAAATGAAAGAACAACCAAACTAATCAGTAGACATCATCCATTACCCTTAGCATTCTGTGCTACTTACCTGCCTGTCTCTACCATCACCTGCATTTCCTGACACAGTGTTATGGTTTAGATCTAAAATGTTTCCCCAAAGTTTTACATTCAGAAGGCACAGTTGCTGGAGGCATGGCTTGGAAGGAAGTATTCTTGTCCCCAGCCCCTCCACCTTCTCTCCCTGATTCCTAGCAGACATACAGTGAAGAGCTTTCTTCCCTCATGCCATTTTTGTCTTGGAGCCAGCCTATTATAGAATAAATCCACCAAAGCTGTGAGCTAAAATAAAGGCTCCCCTTTGTAAACTCTCAGGTATCTTGTCTCCATGATAGGAAAATGATAATATAGAGACCACAGAGTTCTCACTGCGAGGCACAGGAGACGCTCAAAAAGTGTGATCCCAGTAAATTCTTCCAACCCAGTGCCCTCTGGCCTGCATCATCATTTTCCTGTAGAGCTTCTAGTTCATCTCACATTATCACAGTCTATACTGAATGTGCAACATTTTCTAACTAAATGTGTATTTGTTGTGACAAAGATTCTTTGTTTGGCCAAACTGTAGTCAGGTTTTTGAATGTTCTGCTAGGCCCCTTTGAGTACTTCCTTATAAAATCCGATTTTACCAAAGAACATGGCTAAATCAGTTTATCTGATCATTCTTGATTAATCCTCATTCTTTACCAACCCCCAGGCAATATCTGATCACTAGCCTGACTTCAGCAACAATCCTGTTAGGTGGGTTTAGCCAAAACAGCTCTAACCCCTGAAGTTTTCTCTTGGCAATTTTCCATTTTTGACACCCCCAAAACTGCTTCCTCATTATAAATTCCCACTTGCCTCAGCTGTATTTGGAGTTTAGCCCAATTTCTTGCCGCCACTGCAAAGCTCCATTGAAGTGGTGGCTATAAGCATATCAGTGATCCTGGGTAGAGTCTGCTTTTCCTTGCTTTAACAAATGTCATTGAATAATTTTTCTTTAATGGTTGCTGTTAATATCATAAGCTTGCTTTTGAAGGCTGGCAGCTTTTATGCAAACCAGCATCTGACCACAGTAGCCTCAAAACAGTAGCAGAAAGGCTTTGCTTGTTTAGGTGGCCTGGATTTAGTCAGTTCTTCAGAAAACCACATCTCAAACCACATTTGGTTTTGGTAGCAAAGGGTTAGAAAGCATGTTACAGAGATTGGAAAAGGGCACTAGATCAGGTGGGCTTGTGAAGCCCAAAAAGGGTATAGAAGCACATGCTCTCTGCCAGATGGGAACAACTTGGTCTGAATAGGAAACCAGAACTTAAAGCCCACAAAGTCCCTGGAACACAAAGTCTAGGTCTCCACTCAGCAGCATAAGTAGATCTTGGTCCACTTGGCAAGAGTCTCCTGTTCAGTCTCTTTATTCTGATCCTGGTGAGGGACAGATAAGTTAGGATGGATAAGGTTTTGCTGCAGTAAGCAATAATTGTGAGAATCTCATTACCAAATAAACTCCTTGTTCATGCTCAGTCTCATCTGAATTAACCAGGAGAGTCTGCTAATGTAATTTCTTAGGGACACAGGCTGAGGGGATGGTCCCAATCCAACACAGCTTTCATAACTGCAGAAGGAAGGAAAAGAGAACATAGAACCCCACCCCACCCCCCAAGGCACTCACATCTGCTATCCTGACACGGCATGTTTCTCACTTTTGCTCAGGTCATGTTAAGCAAAGTCATATGCGCTCACCTAAGTTCAACAAAATAGAGATATATAATTCTCCCATCAGAAAGAACAGGAAGTACTTAAATACTCTACCACAACTACCACCAAAAAAAAATTGCCGTCCGGTAGATTTTACTAACTGTGTGGTTTTCAAGCAAGCCGTTTCTGAGCTTCAGTTCCCACCATACATAAAACAGGAATAAAAATAGCTCTGACATAGCAAAAGCAAGAGTCTCACTAAGATGACTCAGTGAGACTGTCTGTGGTGGGCTGGACACGGTCCTGGAACCAACACTTGGCTAAATAAATGCTCACTTTTTAAAATTAAATCATGGAGAACTTTGCCACAAAGCAGAAATAAAATGGGAGCCACGTAGCCACCCACCTCTTTCAACCTCAAACAGCCACCTGTTAAAAGTCTCAGAGTCCTCAAGGCCAATTTCAGGGGTTTTTTCTTTTTTTTTTTTTTTTTTTTGTCTTTTTCCTTTTTATTGGTACCGGGGATCGAACTCACGACTGCCTGCTTGCAAGGCAGGCGCTTATGCCACTGAGCTAAATCCCCAGCCCCTAGGGGTTTTTTCTTGTTCCTTGTCCATGATCCTCCATGACAGCAGATCATGGGGCTTTTTCTGAATAACTGCTGCCTCCCTGAAAGAGACCCTTGAAATGGCAGGAGTATATTCTGGGCCCCAGTGACAGCAATTGGCTGTGCTTCGGCAAGTACAAATACACATTAACTGTGACATGTTCATGACCTGTGCCATTTCTGGGCCAAAGCTTTAAGGATCAGGAGGTAATCTCATCATTGTTTTCCTCCAGTGCTGTGCTGGTAAATGTTTAATAAGCAACTTTCCCAAAGAAAGAAGTATTTGTCAATTTCGATTAGTATAAATTTTTCCCACCATAACTGATTTCAGCCCGGGTGATATTTTCAAGCATGGAATTGGAAAGAGATGTATACTATAAGTTTCCTCTAATGTAAGCTGGTTGTAGCACACCATGCATCCCGTCTTCTCCCCTGAGAACAGCATTTTTCTAAATAGGACAAGAAACTACTGCTTCTTTTTTTTTTTCTAAGCCTACAGCACCCCGTATTCCCAGGCGGTCTCCCATCCAAGTACTAACCAGGCCCGACCCTGCTTAGCTTCCGAGATCAGACGAGAAAGAAACTGCCTACATCCCTAATACAACAGAGCCATAGCTGACATGTAGTTGCCATGTGACTCTTTGTGTAAGTTAGAGAGTTGAGGGTTATTAGTCACCACTGCAGAGTAATTTAGCTGACACTGACTAACATAGTCCCCGAAACTCTTTGGCTTTGGTAATATTCCTTCTTCATTCTTTCGACCAAAAAAACCTTATCAGAACCCATTACACAGGAAAACACATAACAGAGTGGATATAATGCAGGTTTGAGAGCCAGACCACCTGACTTTGTGGCCCAGTTATACCATTTATTAACCATAATGTTGGGCAATTTTTTTAATCTCACAGTACTTAAATTTCTTTGTCTATAAAATGGGACTAAGACTAGCACCTACCTCATCAAGTTGTCATGAGGACTGCATAGTTTAATATGCGTAAAGCACTTAGCCTAGGGCCTGCCATCAAATAATAGCTGCTGCTGTTATTACAGGTTGCCAACCCCCAAGCCGGGGGTGAGGAGATCCAGTCCGGGGACCTCTGCTTAAGGACTTCATTCATGGTCCAAAGCAGAAGGCAGACATAAGAACAGAAAGCCACACTAAATCACGGTAAATACAGAAACTAAGGGAGAACAGGTGGGAGATGGCAACTAACTTAAAAGCTGAAACTGTGGTCCAATGGCGCAGAAAAGCTTCAAAGAGAAGCAGATATGTAAATCAAACTTTAAAGGATGAATTAGTCCAGGTGAAAAAGGGAATTAGGAGCAAATGAGATTTCAGGTTTTCCTCTTAGCTCACCTATCATTCCTTGAGTCCTTTCTTGGACACCTTTTTCCTCGCATATACTGGCTTCGCAGATGTTAGTCTTTATTTTCCTTCCCTTCTCCCTACCTTCTCCCAGGACAAACTCATCTACTCCACAGTTTTGAAGCCAGTAGTATATAATAGCATTTACAGAATGCTTAATGTAAGCAAGGTGCTATGTTAAATACTTTACATCTCTTACCTAATTCCAGTCACGATGACCCTATAAGATAAGTGTCATCCAACTTCACTTTGCAGAGAGAAACTGAGAGCCAAGGAGATTGGGTGATTTCAGTGTTACATAAGGCTTTCAGCAGCAGCTATCCAAATACTCAAATAAACATGGCTTGACCATTAAGGGTCTATCTCTGATCACAAGAAGTCCAAAGGAAGTCTCCCCTCATGGTCCCAAGCATATTGGTTTTTTTTTGTTGTTGTTGTTTGTTTGTTTGTTTGTTTTTGGTCTTTTTTCCTTTTTATCGGTACCAGGGATCGAACTCACGTCTGCCTGCTTGCAAGGCAGGCGCTTATGCCGCTGAGCTAAATCCCCAGCCCCCCAAGAATATTGTTGAATATCAGGCATTGCAGCCTCCCTTTGACATGCAAAAATAAGGAGGCAGGTCCTGGGATATATAGCTCAGAGGCATGGTGCCTGCCTGGCAAGCGCAAAATTGTGAGTTTGATTCCTGGTACTAAAAAAAAAATTTTGATCAAAAGTAAGAAGCATGTTTTTCCTGCCTAAGAATCAATCTCTCTCTCTCTCTCTCTCTCTCTCTCTCTCTCTCTCTCTCTCTCTCTCTCTCTCTCTTCCCCCTCCCCCTTCCTGTTGTTTTTAATACTATGAACTGAGCCCAGGATCTTGGTCATGTCAGGCAAACTACATCCTTAGCCCTTTTGAAAAAAAATTTATTTCTTTGAGATAGAATGTGCTAAATTGGGGCTGGGGATTTAGCTCAGTGGCTCAAGTGCTTGCCTGGTAACTGTAGGTCGTGAGTTCAATTCTCAGTACCAAGAAAAAAAAATTTGCTACATTGTCTGAGCTGGCCTTGAACTTATGATCTTCTTGCCTCAAGCTCCTGTAGCTGGGGTTACAGGTGGACACCACTACATCCAGGCGCCCCCCCCCCTTGAGTTTTAACTCCAGCCAAAATGGCCCTCTCTTGGTTCCATACCAATATTTGCCAATTTCTATAGTATAAACTCTCCACCGTGGCTGATTTCAAGCTGCCAGTGTAGACCTGGTGGCTAGCCTAAGAGGCGAAGGAACTTCGTGAATAATGTGAGGATCTCATGAATTCCAAACCTGAAGAGGAACCAAAAGCAGTTAGGCTGAGAACACTCCCAAAGACATGGTACAGGCATTGCCTAGCTGGACAGCCACTACTGGCCACTGGCCTCCCCAGTGCTGCTGGACTCTCACCTCCCTTAGAGCCGGCTCTGTCCCTAAAACCCCCTCCTTTGAAGGTCAAAGTCCTGGGCAGGAATATCATGCTGGCCAAGTCTTGGCATGTGCTCACTCTCCTGCCAAGAAAGCAGGTGGGTTTCTGTCCTTTCCACTCTCCTGAAGGGAGCATGGCCGTTTTCCTCCCAGTCCTGTACAGTAGAGATTTTCCACAACATAAGAGAAGTGTTCCTCTGCTGAGTACCACAATTCTCCTCCACTTCCCAGTCTCCTTTTTTTTTTTTTTAGACCTTTGCACATGCTGCTCTTTTCAGAATATGCTTCTTTATCTCCTCTGTGTAAATCCTCCTCATCTTTAAAATTGTATCTCACTTACACAAAATTCCTCCTCAGTCTGAGTTAGACACTCAGACTATTGTGATCTCTCTGCAGCCTGTACTTTCCCAGCATAGCCTCCAACCACCTCTTACCTGCACTTTCCTCTGCTTGACTGCAATTCCATAGGGTGGACACCCTCCCCTCACTGGGTCCTCTGAACCTTGCACAATACTGGGCACATAATAGATGCTCATTAAACATGTTTTTGACTCAATGAATAAAGGAGATAACTATAAATGGGGCTACCACCGCCCACCAGTCCTCTGGCCCTAAGATTCATACTTTCTTATCCTCATCTGGTCTGGAGCCAAACCTGTTAATGCTACCTTCACATTATCTTTCATATGGCCTTTGCAGTAGCTCCCTGCAAGGACCTCTGTTGTTTTTGCCTACCCAAAACCCTTGTCTCTTATTTTGGCTGTCACCATTTACTGTTAAGGAATTACTTCTCTATTCTCAACAGTCCTGAGGGAACTCTGAGTCAATCAAGGTGCTTTTTATTTTCACCCAAGGGTAAACATGAGATCCAAGCCAAGTCAAAAATCTGAATCTTGGAAAAAATGGGAAAATGGCGGAACAGTAAGCAGCACAGTAAAGAGCCTCTCTGAGAGAAATAGCCCTGATGCTGGAATATAGCATTCTAGAAAAGACCAGAAGGAAAGAAATGAGTCCCCTTGACCCAGGAAGAAACTAATGTGAGAATTGAAGCCCACAGAGAGAATAAAAAGAAAAGAAAAACTTAAACAGAAGGTGGTAGCCAGTGGCACTTTCACCAGAGCTGGTCCCACTGTGCAAGAAGCGCCACTGGGATCCAGAGACGCACAGTCACAGTGAAGCTGGTGGCGGGCAAGCCCAAAGGCCTCAGCGGGGAGACGTGGTGGCAGAGGGGAGCAGTGGACCGCAGAACTGCACTGGCTGGTGGTGAGTGTGGGGAACTCAGTCCTCCTGCAGGAGTGGGCAATTGGCCAGGGGCCATTTTGGAGTCAGGCAGGATAAGCCCGGGAGCAGAACTGCAGCCGATTTATTTCAGCCACTTCTAGCAGAGAGCAGACTGGGGGAAACTGCTTGGACTGAGTCCCACTTCTGTGTGTGGTTCAATGGCCACTGCTGAGGTTCCCCTAAAGCTATCCCTAACCAAGTCTGGCACACACTAATGTGGTGGAGATTCCCTGTGGTTAACCAGCTCAGGAGGGAGGCACCAGACTGCCCCACCCCTGCTTATACTCCACTAGTCACCAGCAGATTGGGAAAAGCAGCAAACAGCAGAAATCCCTAGCCAGCAGCTTCAGAGTAACTATAACCAATACAGGAAGTGCCAGGGAACTCACTACCCACTTGTCTGGAAGAAACCAGAAACATGACAAGAAGAAGAAGCAAAAGGCAGTCTCCGGCCTCCAACCCAAGCAGTACTTATCCAGGAAATGTAAACACAGAAGAGATCTGGAGTCACACACCTGCAGTTTCTGAAGTAACAGCAATTGAAATAAACAACTTCATGAAGCTATAAAAGAACTTAAAATAGAAATACTAGTACAAGTAAAGGAAGTAAACATAACAAAAGAATTGCTAACCACCTCTAAAGAAGACACAGATGGAATAGAGGAGCATAGAAAAAGGAGGGAAACCTTCAATGAAGAATATTTTAAAAATTTAGAATACATGAAACAGATTCAAAGAGATTACCAGAAAATTAAAAACTCCATTGAGCTGGGGATTTAGCCCAATGACATAAGCACCTGCCTGGCAAGCACAAGGTAACATGTTTGATCCCTGGAACCAAAAAAAGAAAGAAAGAAAGAAAGAAAGAAAGAAAGAAAGAAAGAAAGAAAACCTCTATTGAAAGCTTGTAAAACCACTTCAAAGAAACTAAAGATAGACTATCAAACCTTGAAGACTGGTTTGCAACTTGCGATTGCAAAAGGAAAGATCTCTTAAAAAAAAAAAAAAGGAACCAGGAAATAACAATACAAAGACTAGAAGATGACAAGTGGATCTATAACTTAAGAATAAAAAACGTGAGTGAAGAAGCAGGGGTAAACACAAATGAAATACAAAAGCTATTTACAGAAATAAAGAAAATTGCCCAAGCATAGGAAAAGGAAATGATATTCAGATATATGAGACATACAGAACTCCTGCCAGCTATAACCAAAATAGATCTACACCCAGATATATAATAATCAAGATCCCAGAAATTCAACCCAAGAACAGAATATTAAAAGCTGTTAGAGAAAAACAAATAGATCTCCTATAAAGGAAAACTCATCAGAATCACAGCAGACTTCTCAACACAAACCATCAAATCAAGAAGAGCGTGAAGTATTCCAAGTCCTGAAAGAAAATAACCTCCAACCTAGATTGATGTACCCTGAAAAACTATCTTTCAAAATTAATGGAGAAACAAGATGCTTCCATGACAAAGAAGAACTTGGAGAGTTCATGACCACCAAACCAACCCTACAAAAAGTACTGAAGGACATTCTAAAGAGAGAAAAAAAACCATGGTTTCAGGAACAGCAGCAGAGGGGGCTCACTGAATGGAGCAGACAGTGGAATAAAGGGGGAAAGTAGACAACCAATGGCAGAAAAATAGCGAGGCAGAGAAGGATAGCAATAATCACTAATATGGATGGCCTCGATACACCAATAAAAAGAAATACAAGCAGATAGATCAGGAGATAGGGTCCATCAATATGCTCTAGATAAGAAATATAATTAACCTGAAAAAGTTTTATAGACTGAAAGTCAAAAATGAGAAAACAATGCTCTATGTGACAGGGAACCAGAAAAAAGTGCGGTAGCTTGCCCATGAGCTGCAGATTGGTTAGAAAGCCATGACACTTTTGTACAATGGAAAACTACTCAGCTATACAGAAAGAAAACCTTAAGGCTCTTGTAAGTAAGTGAATACAATTTGAGATCATGCTCAGGAGTAAAAAGGTTCAGAATTACTTAGGCGAATAGGGGGTTGCCTCCTAATCTAAAAATCAAAGGAGTTAGTGGGATACAAAATGCACAGTGTGCCCTGTGAAAGTGAAAGGAGAGCAGTTGTCTAAAAAGGGAAGGCAGTGGCCATTGTTAATCTTGTATCATGATTTCAAACCCATATTGTTTTCATTGTTCTGTTTAGTTTGGTTATGTTCTGTTCCTGTTTGTCTACTTGTACTAGATTTGATAGCATGGACAGCTATTCCAAAGAGAGCAGGATATACTATGGTAACCATTTTTGATTTCCTATTAACTTGATTTGAAGCCCTGTATTACCTTCACTGTTTCATTTTGACTGATTTTATTCGAATCTGTTTTGTTTGATAGTATCAAGTCTGAGGGTACAGGCAATTACTTTGAAGACAGTAAGATTCACTATGATACCCATTCTGGTTTGACTATTATCTTCTTTTGAAATCCCATAATGTCTCCAATGTTTTGTTTTTATTGGTTTTGTTCTGTACTGTTCTGTTCAATTTTATTTTGCCTGATGATATAGGCAATTCTAACAAGAGACATCATGGCAACCACTGTTGATCACTTTGTATTTTGTTTTTAAGTTGTGTACTATGTCCACCCTTTTGTTTTGACTGACTTCATTTTGTTTTGTCTCATTTGGTTTCATTCTCTTCAAAATTAAAAAAAAAATCTGAATCTTGAGTGGAAATCTTTTTTTACTATTTTTTCTTTTTATTGGTACTGGGGATCTAACTCACGACCACCTGCTTGCAAGGCAGGTGCTTATGCTACTGAGCTAAACCCCCAGCCCCATTGAGTGGAAATCTTGAGTCAAGAATATTGTTGGGTTTCAGGGTGACCTCACCCAACTTCATAAACAAATAAAGAAATAGCTATAGAAGTAAAGCAAAGGAAGATCACAATATCATCTTCAGATTATGAGACTGACACGCTGCCTGCTGTGCTAAGGAGATAATATCACCTTTGTTCTTGACAGAGATGTTAGAGATGTGTCCTCACTGGCATACAACGGACTGACTTACACAAGACACCAAAATTAAACTTCTCCAACTCATCCTGGTAGTGCTAGGACTCGTGTGAGTGAGCCTTTCCCTGGACTGCATGGTGACCCTGTCCCTGCTGCCTGAGTGCCCCCCTTTCCAGCTGTGATTATTTTGGGCTCACCCAGATAATCCAGGATGATCTCTCCATTTCAGAATCCTTTTTGCCACATAAAGTGATTTGATCCCAGCTTCTGGGGATTAGAGTGTGGACATCTTCGAGGGGCTATTATTTCTTCGTACCACAAAACATTAACAGAAATAGCTCTTGTCATAGATGGGTGGATACCTCTTTTTCTCCTCTCCTGTCTGTCATGTAAGTGATCTTTAAATAAAGTAAATCTGAGCATAAGCCCTACTTAGAAACTCCCAATTCCCCCAAAATTCACTAAATAAAATCCACAGCACCCCTGCTCCTAGAAGTTTGCTCCAAGCATTCTCAGCCTGAAATGTTCCCTTCCCCAAACCCCAGATCTCTCCAGCCTTCTGGTTCCTCCTGTTACACTCTAGTTGGAACCCTGCTGGTCTGTGAATGCCACATCTGCTATCTGACAGTTGTAGGGCACAGCCAGCGAGATCTGAACTCAGATCTCTGCTCAGTCACAGGCCAGTCACACGACCATGAGTAAGGTCCAGTACTCAACCTTTATGTGCCTCCATTTTTTTTTTTTTTTTTTTTTTTTATCAGTACCGGGGATGGAACTCTCACGACCGCCTGCTTGCAAGGCAGGTGCTTATGCCGCTGAGCTAAATCCCCAGCCCCCGTGTGCCTCCATTTTTAAAATACACTGATAATAAAGTAGCTGCCCTATATATAGACAGCTGTGAGGATTAAATGAGATTGTGCCTGTAAATCACTTAGTCCATTGCTTGCCACATAATATCCAATAATAGGTGTATAACAGCATTTATTTTTTTGGATTCTTTTTTTTTTTTTTTTTTTTTTTTGGTCTTTTTCCTTTTTATCAGTACCAGGGATTGAACTCACGACTGCCTGCTTGCAAGGCAGGTGCTTATGCCGCTGAGCTAAATCTCCAGCCCTACAGCATTTATTTTTAAAAATTAATAGTTGGGTGACTAAATGAATGAGACACCACTCTTCCTGGAATGTCAGTATCCTTCTTATTGTCTCGTTAGTTACATTGTGGGCTTTGGTGCTTTTCAGAAGAATGAGATAGAAGCATTTTGGCACAAGAACAAGACTTTTATTATTATGCTCTAGGAAAAGGGGGAAACTTATGGGCACAGAAATCCCAGGTTGACCCAAAGGATAAACAGCTTTCATGGCATCAACAGGGGAGAGACCTGATCTCTTGACATCACACACAGAAGTGCAATTTTAGTTGTGCCTTTTGCCTTATTCTGCCTTTTGCTCCCCACCACCTCCCCCCAGACAGGATCTTTCTAGGTATTTCAAGCTGACCTCCAACTCACTCTATAGCCCAGACTGGCCTTGAAGTCACATCCTTCTGCCTAAGCCTCCCAAGGGCTGGGTTATCATAGCTTTTCATGTAATATATATCATGATAAGTCGTCATTCTAGGTGTCAGTTTTACTATCCTAAAAAGTAAAAGTAACCATACATTACTTCATGACTATTCTACACACAGATTTGTCCTTTAGCCACCTGGAATTTGTTCCTTATCATTTGGAAAAGTTCTTCATTGGACTTTAAGTAGGTTAGATCATTCCCCTGCCTCAGTGGGTTTGATTTTAATGAACTTGTGGGAGATTTCTTGGCCCTGGTTTCTTGATTTCTCTACTGACCATACAGTGTTTGAAGGCTGAGATGGCTTCCTATCCTCCCATCTCCTACTGTGTTAATTTTATATTGCTGAAGACTGGTTCACCATTTAACACTCAGTTCTCTGATATTTTGTTAATTCTGTAAGAATATAGCTTAGTTGTCTTATTTCCTTACTAACCACCAAAGCCTACAACATTTTTAGTTGAATGAGTAAGTCTCACATTTTGTGCATCATATTAACTGCTTTCCCACCTAAAGGGCCTATTTCTGGTCAGAGTTGTTACAGGGATCGGTGGTGGAAGGGGAAGGCTGCTTGTAGCTACATCCCTGGGCTAGTGCCCTGCTCACAGAAAACCTTAATAAACTAATCTTATTCAAATGAATTTTGGCTACATGGACGCTTCTATCAGAGAAGCCCTGTGCTCTCAGAGGCACCAGTTTGTCATCCCCAGTCTTAACTGTAATTCTACTACTGCCTAATGTTGGACTGGTTGCTGCACAGCTCTAGACCCCAGCTCACTTTCTGGAAAATAGGCATAGCAACCCCTGCTTCATTCTACCATCAAACAAAATCAAGCAGGCATCTTGTAAAGTTCATTTCAGCGATGAAAATGAATGTTAACTTCTGTCAAGTAAAGTAGAAGAGACCGCAGCTGCAAGGTTAGTAACCTCATCACTAGGATGTAGAAATAGCAATGGTTTCCTAATCACACCCTCATAAAAAGTCCAAAGGGGCTCAATTTCTACACCAAAAGCTGTAGAAATCATTTCCCTGTCCAGAGGTCATCTCTCTTGAGCAATTTTTCTGAATTAAAAATATAAATTAAATTAATTAAAATATAATTAAATATAAATAAAATATAAAAATATAATTAAAAATATAAAGGCATTACCTGCATATTATAGAATTACAGAATTTTTTTTTGAAATCTAAACGCACACGCCTAACCACGCTATAGAAATCTCCAGTAGTAACCATCAAACAAAATTTGGGATTTCTTGTAATTGCAATTTTGTATCCTGCTGGTGAACACTTTTCTCTTGTCATTAGTCATTCAAGGGGTGAATTTCAGCATACAAATTTGTTGCAATTTAGTTAGCCAGCCTGTTATTGTCCAACATGTAGACTGTTGCCTTTATTTTTTGGTTTGGAAATTTGAGACTGGTATAAATATGGTAACTACTACATTACACAAATATTTACACTTACACATATTCTTATGTCCTTGAATTTCTATAAGTGGAATTGTTAGACCAAAGGTTATGTGATACATATTGTCAATTTATTTTCTTTTGTCTTATTTGTTTATTTATCTTATTGAGACAGAGTTTTGCTATGAGGATCAGGGTTCAGGCAGGCCTTCAACTCACTATGCAGTTCAGACTGGTCTCCAACTCACCGCGATATTTCTGCTTCCCTGAGAGCTGAGATTCAAGCGCGTGTCACCACGCCCGGCGCCAATTTGTTTCCTACGAGTGATTTTAACCATTTACATTCCCTCGAGCAATTTCATAGCATTTAAACGGAGTTGCAGGTGTCATTAACTGTCAAGGGACGAGGTAGAACGTCCCGCGCGGGCTCTGGCTCTCCCTTACGTTTTCCCGCCCACTCTGCACGCCAGCCAAGAGCGCAACAAGCACCCCGCCCACTCTGATGATGGCCCGCCCCTTCCTTACTTCGTAGATATCCTGTCCAATCATAAGTAGCCTTCCTCAGTATGGCTTTATGACTGGTAAATTGAAGTGTCCGTCTCTCTCAGGGGCGGGAGGAGAAAGCTGAAGGACGTGGCGAGTGGCCACTGTGAGCAGCGAGTGTGGCCTGCGTGGCGTGCGTGGCGCGCAGGTCTAGAAGCGCTGGACCTTGGAGGTGTGCAAGGGCTGGCGGTAAAAGAGTTTGGCAGACATGGCTCCTACCGTACAGGCAACGGAGTCCGAGTATCCGAAAGGCATCCGGGCCGTGCTGCTAGGGCCTCCTGGGGCTGGTAAGGGTACCCAGGTGAGCGTCCTGACCGCGCTTGGCGACAGAGCCCGCAAAACTCCAAGGTCAGGGCGGACGGAGATCCGGAAGTCCTTTCCTTGTCCAGGAGCAGATGGTGGCCTGAGCTTGAGGGGACCCTGGCCAGGGTTTCAGGTCTCAGTAAGGAGTTTTAGAGAAGGGTCCAAATGGGAGGGCGAAGAGGCTGGGGCAGGTAGTTTGGGTTGAATTTGAAGACCTAGAGATGCAGGCTTGAAGTGTCTTGTTAAGAGATTTCAAGAATTTTAGAAGGGCTATGAGGAGTTAGAGGTTGAGTAGTTTGGGGCTCTGGATTACAGATTGAATGGAGGAAGAAGCTTGTTGGCCCAGTTTGCCTGTAAGTTGGGAATGAATTGTCCAGTATCAGGGATATGTGCTAGACACTAGGGGCAGAACTTTACTTGATAATGATTAATGACTGGGGATGAAGGAGCATCTCCTGCACGTGGGACAGAGTGAGATCTCGTGTATGCTGACTAGTACTGCCAACAGGAGTGAAAACTGACCTATGGGAATCACTTAATTCGGGGTGGGAGAAAACCTAAGGTTCTCCCTGTTCTTCTGAAAACAAGAGATGGATGTGTAGATCTGGTTTGTCACCTCTGGAGCCATATAGGTTCTAAATCTGAACTTTTGAGTGGTGACCAAATCAAAGACTAGGAATGTGTATAGGGCCTCAACTTCCAGTTGGAATCTGAGGTGACTGAAAGCTGAACAGCACAAGATGGTTTAAATGATTTTAGGTGAGAGGGAACTTGAATTTTAAACTTCCTAAGTCAACAGGTAACAAACAGCTCTGCCGGATATGATAGCACACACCTGTAATGTCAACAGTCTGGAGGCTGAGGCAGGAGGATTGCTGTGAGTTTGAGGCCAGCCAGGGCTATATAGTGCGTTTTAAGACCAGCCTGAATTACAGAGCAAGACCCTGTGTCAGAAAGACAGAGACAGATACAGAGAGAGAAAGAAAGAAAAGCCCAGAAAAGTCAGGTGGCTTTCCTGAGTTAGTGAAATTGATTAATCGATTTCACTGGGCCTGGAAGGAACCTCAGGAACCTTGGACCTCCAGAGGACTGGAGTCTGAAACTGCCTTCCCCCCTAGCAGGCTGCAGTTCATGTCTTGGTATCTGATCCCTTTTGAGATCTGGGACATAATGGGGCCACAGGTCAGGGTTTGGGTTTATGATCTAATTTAGGATTTGGAAGCCCATATGTGGGTTATTAATGTTGCCTTCCTGCCTGGAGGTTTGCATTGCTTCCTAGGGGTAGGATTGGGGCTCTTGTTCACCATTAGGCTTTAAAGAGGAAATTCCTGAAAGTCTGGATTTCTCAATCAATGGGGAGTGTTCTGTTTCCTGTCTTCCTAGCACTTACCAACGTGTTACTTGGCACTCAATGGGGTTATTGGAAATGAATGAATAACACAGCTTAATATGGGTATTGAAGAGAAAGGAGATCTGGGGCTGGGGCATCAGTGGCATAAGCACCTGCCTGGCAAGTATGAGGTCGTGAGTTCGATACCTGGTACTGAAAAAAAAAAGAAAGAAAGATCTGAAAGACTTTGCTTTCTGCCTGTGTTACTAGGTCAGGAACGACCACTTTCCATTTTCTCTATAAACTAAGCTGTTTCTTCCTTGGCCTACCAGTAGCCTTTACAAAAAGTGATGTTGACATCACTTCTTTCCTTTTGCTACCACTGTCAGTTATTAGGCAACATGCAGCTTAAGGACGTTTAAGACTTTGCAGACTTTTGGTGTGAGTGACTAAGTGAAAACAGGGTAGCTCACATGTATTTTTTCCCCTTGCTTAGATTGAAGTTGATATGTATCTGATAGGTAGGACATTCGGTAGTTGTAAAATGGACATTGTAGATAACCCATCCTTATGCTAAGACAAGAGCTTTTTAGCTGTATAACTTCTGATCCCCAGTGTTCTCACCTGAAAAATGAAAAATTCACAAGAATACTAGGAGATTATGTTTATACATATAAAGCACCCATGCATACCTAGATGACAGCCTGGCACAATGGGCACTCTAAATATTGCACCTGTATCTTAGCACATTTTCCCTCTCCCAGTTCTGATAATTTTAGTGTAAACAGTGATTTATTCAGGAATCTCAAAATTATGACCTGATTGATGAGAGTATATGAATGGTAGGAGTTGGTCACAAGGTTACGTGAAGTGAAAGATGTAATTAGAGCTAGGACTTGAGGAAAGGTAAAATTACATATATCATTTGACCTCTGTATACGTCCCTTTCCATAGTGAGAACAAAGGAACACTGGTAGTTGAGCGTGTTTATGGTATTGGAAAAAAGTACAGAAATTATAGTTTGCAAAGTGGCAGCCTATTGCAGCATTTAGCCTGCAGACACACCCATACTTTTATTATGAGGAGGTGCCCCATTCCCTCAGTACTGAGGATTGAACCCAGGGCTTTGGTCATGCTAGGCAAGTAGTGTAATAAGTGCTCCATCCCCTGTCCTTTTTTAAAATTTTATTTTGAGGGATCCAGGCATGGTGGCATATGCCTGTAATCCCAGCACTCAGAAGGCTGAGGCAGGAGGATAGGTGTGAATTCAAGGGCAGCCTAGATGCTTATGGAGTTCAAGGCCAGTCTGCACTACATGGTGTGGCCCTGTCTCAATGAATGAATGAGTGAATGAATGAATAAATACATACAGTAATTAATTTTATTTTTGAGACTGGGTCATACTGAGTTGCCCAGGCTGACTTTAAACTTGTGATCCTCCTGCTTGCCACCTCTAGAGTAGCTAGAATTACAGGTATGCACCAACGTGGCCACCTTTATTAAGAAGAGTGTAGAGTACACAAAAGAAAACATAACAAACACAACTAACCATCAACTGATTTGCTTTTTAGTATAATATTCCCTAAAATATTAACAATTTTAATAGCAGTTAATGTTCACATTTCCCATTGTCTCACAAATGTGATGATGGCTTTTGGTTTCTTTTCTTTATCCTGCAATTTTTTGGAAGAAAGTTGTTTGTTGTGAGAGTATTATCCCTCATTCTTGTAATTTTCAATTGTATCCTTGCGAAGTATTTAAAATCTTTCTCTGTCCTGTTTTCTGTAAGGACTTGGTTTAGCCTGTACCCTTAATCAGATTCAGGTTCAGGTTTTGGCTCAGCTGTCCATAAAGAGGCACCAATGTCCGCTTGTCTCTGGGTGTCTGTAGTCATTGCTAGTCAGTGCCTAGGACCAGTAACTCCTTGTGGGTGACAGATGGGTGGTGTTCCAGTTCTGTCATTTCCCTTTTCATTCCTTAGTGAAATATTTCTAGAGAAACTCCCACTCCTCTGTTTATCTGGAAAAGCCAGTCATATGGCTTATCTGGAAAAGGCAAGATAAGTGCTTAGTTTTCATCTTTCAAAATCATAAATTTTTTTTTCAGATTTTTTTTTTTTTTTTTTGTCTTTTATCGGTACCGGGGATCGAACTCACGACTGCCTGCTTGCAAGGCAGGTGCTTATGCCGCTGAGCTAAATCCCCAGCCCCTAAATTTTAAAAAATAATAATTATGGTAGAGTGTTTTCAGTTGTGAAATTTCTCTAAAAATTCAGAGAAATTTCTCCAGTTTCTCTTGAGAAATCAGATCTGGCGGCAGTGCGCCTGCATTCCAGGGTGACAGTAGTCACTTCTGACTCAGTGGTGGTGTTACTTGGGGGGGTCCATGTGCTCTCCTGTCCCCGACACAGTTCCCTTCACTGCCTGAGGCTTACCTTAGGCCCAGTGTTCATTTGTATTGTCTACCTGACACACACTGGCAGATGTTTGCAATCTTCAGTAAATTCCTAACCTAGAATTTCTGCCTAGTTACCTGCTCAATAATTATTTTCTTCTGACTACCACATCCTATGTTTTATGTTGTCATAACTGAAATAATGTTTTCTTTGAAAACTTCCCACTTTAAAATAGCCATTGGAAAACTGCCTGCTTTTGCGCCATTTGATATTTTAAAACATCATAGAATGCTTGGGATTGTTATTTTATCTTATTTATTTGTTTTTATTACTATTATTTATTATTTATTATCCTATTTATTTATTTATTGTGATTATGAGACAGGGCCTCGCTGTGCAGTTCAGACAGGCCTTGGGCTCCCTTTGTAGCCCAGGCTAGTGTTGAACTTGCAAGGATCCTCCTGCATCTGCCTCCTAAGTACTGAGATTACAGTAGTGCACCACCACACCCAGATGAGATTGTTATTTTCTTTAAATAGCTTTCTGCCTTCTGAAATTGTATGTTCCTGCATTGTGGCCAAAACCAAGTCTGTTTGTTTGTCTGTCTGGTTGGTTTGTTTGTGTCAGAAATCAAACTCAGGACCTTGTATTTGCTAGGCAGTACCACTGAGCTGTATCCCCATCCCTCTTGGTTTTTTCTACCAGCCATTCCTCATGTTTCTAGTGTTTCCAGCATATACCAGTTTTTTGAGGCTTTATGTACGTAGGCAGTCAGTTGCTAATTTACAAGTTAGGTTTGTCAGTTTTATCAGTGCACTGATACCCAGGGCTTTGTAAGAGCTTTCATACCTCTCTGTCTCTGTCTCTCATAATGAGTATTAAACCTAGGGCTTTATTTGTTTCCCCAGTAAATTCTTCTGTACTTTGCCACAGTTGTCACCCTTTACTTAGTTATTTGACACACTTCAGACTAAGGACTTTTTATGTTTCTTTTTTTTTTTTTTTTTTTTTTTGTCTTTCTCCTTTTTATCGGTACCAGGGATCGAACTCACAACTCCCTGCTTGCAAGGCAGGTGCTTATGCCACTGAGCTAAATCCCCAGCCCCTGGATTTTTTATGTTTCATCTGAGTTAATTTTGCAACCCTAGGAAGTAGATCCTGTTGTTATCCACAGTTTTTACTGATGAGAGAGTAAGGCCCAGAGACAATAATTGTCTCAGAGCACAGATTAGTAACTAGTAAAGATGGGACTTAAACTACTATCTCCTGATTCTTAAGTAGAATCATCATTTTTATGCCTACAAGAAATACATGCTAGTAGACGGTGCCATATGAGAAGCATCAGTGAGTTGAAGTATAACACAAGAACCAATTTATTGAAGGTCTCCTCATACCCATCCAGTGAAGTAAGTAATAACTTGAGTAAGTTAAGCAGAGCTAAAATCCAGACATAGTTTCTATGATTTTTTTGAAGTTTTAAATCAAAGTATAATATACATAGAAAAAGGTACAAATAGAACCTTGCTTGAGTTTTTATAATGTGAACACACTTCTGTGGCTTACACCCATCATCAGGATGCAGAACATTGCCAGGACTGAAATCTTTCTGTGGACACCCTCCTATGTGGACAGCCATTAAAGTTCAGCAGGTTGTTTGTTTTAAGGCCATGGATAACTTAACCTGTGAATTACATCTATAAAATACAGATAAAAATAGTTCTTACCCCATGGGTTTATTATATGTTATGCATACATAATCAACACTCAGAAAATTGCTTGGCATATTGCAAATGTTCATTTTTCACTGATGTTGCTGTGATTGCTCACAGGAAGAAGTGATTGGGAAGTCCCAAGAGAAATGGACTCAGAATTTGACTACAGGGCAGAGTAGAGCTGAAACCAGTAGACGAAAGGGAGAGCGTTCTTGTGTAGAAAGGAGCTTGAGCTGAGGTCCTTGGAGAGGCATTTATGTTGTGCTTTTGGGAACCATAGGTCAGAGAAGTTAGCCTGGAATAGTACGGAGAATAGATGTAGGGCACTTGTAGAAGTAAATTTCAAGAGTTTGAGATATAGAGAAAGCTGATTTCGGACATCACTGAATGCCAGGTTCAGGTATTTGACTCAGTAGTAATACATTAGCATTTAGAAAGCTGCTGAACACGTGCACTGGCGTTAGGTGGCATGCCCCGCAGTTTAGTTTTGTTTTATGGGAGGGTACCAGGAATCCACCTCAGGACCTCATACTTGCCAGGCAGGTGCTGCACCACTAAGCTAAATACCCGACCCTTCCCAGCAGTATTTTAGGTATGTTTCTAGCTGCGTATGCAGAAGCATTCAAGGTAATAGGAAAGACTAGAGGCAGAAAAGCAATTGTGAGCTAAGAAAGCAGGTGAGTTAGGAGGTCTGATTGCTTCCCTCTGTTTCCTAGTCTCAGTCAACATACATGATCTTACTAGATCCGCACAATATTTCTGAAATAAATATTATTTGTAACTATGAATAAAGAAACTGAGGCCTTAACAAGGTTTGAACATGTTCAAGATAAAACAGGGAACACATGGCAGAATTTGGATTCCATCCCAAGGTCTATACCACTGAGAAACCAAGCCTTTTGCCATTGCCACAGGGCCTTACAGACTGTGCATCAGAATCCCAAAGCAGGGCTGGGGGTGTGGCTCAGTGATAAGCCATCTGCCTAATGTGCATGAGGCCTTGTGCTGCATCCCCAGCCCTGAAAAACAAAACCAGAAACAGAATCCCAGAGCACTGCCTTAGCCCAGCACACTGGTCATCACCTCTACTCCAGACTGAGATGAGCAGCTTATGATTTTGAGACCACTCTGATGACATAATGGGATGCTCATTTGAAGGGGGAAAAAAACCCACTAGCTGAGAACTTTTAAGGATGAGATAGGCCTAGCATTTTAAATAGTACAAATGATTAGATGATTATGATATTCCTTGACTTATTACAGGGTTGCATCTTGATAAACCCATCCCTAAACCATAAATTGAAAATGCATTTAATACATCTAACCTGCCAAGCATAGCTCATCAACACAGTGCTACACAGTGAAGTGTTAGTTGTTTTCCCACATAATTTCATAGCTGAGTAGAAACTGCAGCTCTGGCTTCTACCCAGCATCACGAGAGTACTCTATCACATCTGGCTAGCCTGGGGAAAGATTAAAATTCAAGGGACACATCTCTTTAAAACCACTTAAAAATTATAAGCTAGGGTCCATCTGAACACTGAAGTTTGAGAACCACTAAGCCCCACTACACGGCCTCTGGTGGTTTTAGCCATTCTCATCCACTCCCCCAAAAAGTCCTCCATCCTCCGCAGGATTCTCATAGATATGACAGAGAATCTGTTCCTTGAGCTCAGCAACAGTTTATAGCCAGCAACAGAGTGTGATTGTGCAGCCAGCCACCCGTCCAAGCCTAAAAGTTTACTTAAAATTAAGCATGTGATTGGCCCCTGCCCTTTCTAATCAGAGTCTGCATGTTAACTCCCAAGTGATTTGGAGTCCAAGGTACTGCTCTGAAGCATAAGTTTGAAGCGTGATGGAACTGTAATAACCTTTTATCAGGCTTCAGCAGTCTGTAAGTAAAGAATAATACCAAAAGAAAGACCATAGAAAATCTTATTTTCTCAATGCATACTATGTGTCTGATATTTGGTACTTTGTTTCATTTATCCTCTTAAGGGTCCTGTGATATGGCCATTATCCTCATTTGAATGATGAGGAAACTTTCTCAGAAGTCAAGCAACTAACTCAATGTCATGTAACTGCTAAGTGGCTTAGACAGAATTTAAGCCCATCCAGGTTCTTTACACCCGGCCACAGAGGCTTCTAAGCAGCCAAGCAGGAAATGGAGGAAGTAGGCTTTCACATGCCGCATCCCTGTGGGTGTGTGGTTTTTTTTTTTTTTGTCATTTTTTTTTTTGTTGTTGTTGTTTGTTTGTTTGTCTTTTTCATTTTTACCGGTACCAGGGATCGAACTCATGACTGCCTGCTTGCAAGGCAGGCACTTATTGAGCTAAATCCCCAGCCCCGGGTGTGTGGTTTTTTATGCACCTGTAGGATCTGCTCACGTTGAATGGTGTATGTAAGTCTTACAGTTTGGGCGTGATGAAAATACAACTGCCAGCCCTGCTCACAGCTCTCTGGTGATTTGGTTACCTTTCCTGTGAACAAATTCAATCTCTATATTGTTCTCTCAAGTTAACTTCAACACCCAAGTAGAGAAAGTAGGGGTGTGCCATGGTGCCAGCTGGTTGTCCATTACCGAAAAGTCTTGATCTTCATTGATACTCAAAGTGCAGAGTTTATATTGTTTATTTTTTCTTGCAGCAATATGAATGGAAACCAGAGCCTCACATTCCCAAGCTTCTCACCAAGCTATATCCCAGCCCTTTTTATATTTTTGTTTTGGGATAGGATTGTGCTAAGTTGCCCAGGCTGACCTCAAACTTGTGATCCTCTTGCCTCAGCTTCCCAGGAAGCTGGAATTACAAACATGAGCCACCACACCCAACCCAGCATGTAGTTTTAATACCTTCCCATCTGGGTTCCATTTCACTAAGAAGTAATTTCTCTGCTTGAATTGAACCAGTTCATGAATCATAAACCAGAATTTCCTCTATTGAGCCCCATCTATTTACTTTTATTGTGTGCATTTAAGAAAACTCCCAGCAAAATGGTTTAAATGGTGAGCCAAACCATTTACTTTCTAAAACAGCTGAACCAGAAAACTAAGTATTGAGCTCCTTGAACCAATTCAATTTCCTGTGAATTCTGCATTCTTTTTTGCCATATAAAATCAATATTGAGCTGTCTTATCTCTTTCTGTTCAGAGTATGTTCTGATTTGTAATCCACCAAACTGTGAGCTCTTGGAGGACATAGTCTTATGTTTCCTATTCCTCTGTGCCCTTGGCTCCCAACAGGGTTCTTGGAAGAGGCATGAGCAAATATTTTCTTTCTATATAAATGAACATGGAACAAGAGCCAGCATTCCGTTAACAGCTAATGCTCACTGAGGATTCGTGTGTGCCTCATACGCGCTACATTCTATAGAAACTTTTCATTAACCCAGTGATCTAGATATAGTGCCATGTCCATTTATTTAGAGAAAATTTGAAAATTGAAAAGTTACAATAACGTCACAAATAGCAATTGGTATGTGTAATATATGTAGTAATTAGTAGGACTGGAGTCTGAAACCCAGGCAGTTTTAAACTTCACAGCAAATTTGTAAAGTGTTGATAATGCTGTTTTTTTCCTTGTTTATAATAAGGAAACTGAGGTGTCTGTGTCATTAGTGTGGCCAGTAAAAGTAGTGATAACGGCTGATATTTATGATGGCTTCTTGTATACTAAGTATACTCTTGTAAATACAGTGTTTTACATGTATTATCTCACATAATTTTTTACCATAATCCTATAGTCATTTTACATGAGAATGTAACATAAAGTACTTCTATCCCTGTTCCAAGGAAATAAGAAGGCATTTGCCAGAGTTCATGTAACCAGTAAGTGGCAGGACCAGGTCCATACTCAGGCAGTCTGATACCGGGGCCTGCAGTGTTAACTCTACCTTGGTTTTTGTCTTTCTCCGTAGGCACCCAGATTAGCTGAAAACTTCTGTGTCTGCCATTTGGCCACTGGGGATATGCTAAGGGCTATGGTAGCTTCTGGCTCAGAGCTGGGGAAGAAGTTGAAGGCCACTATGGATGCTGGGAAACTGGTAAGACGGATCACACCAGTGAGTGTTGATATGCCTGAGTCTACATTGAACTGTTCAATATGGTAACCAGCCGTCTACATGTGCCTATTTATTTACTTAAAATTCACTTCTGACGGATACCAGAAGCTCCTTGTTTCTGTTTCAAGCAATTGGCATATTCTGCATTCCTGGAACATAGTAGAACTCTAATGCACAGAAAAAGTAATGTGTGCATAAAGTAAAATTTACTTTCCCCACTGCATTAGCTGTGTTTCAAATATCCCACTAGCACAAATACAGATCATCGCATCTCCATTATAAAAAGTTCTGTGACATAGCCCTCTGCTGAAAGGTGTTTCAGCTAGAAGATGATATGAGCTTTCACAGTAACAAGTTACTTGGTTTGTTCTGAATTCATGGCAATTTACTCAGTGTTTTTTATTTTCTTTTGTGTAAATGCTTTGTAAAATGTGCTGCAATTTTAGGGTCAAAATATAGCTGCCATCCCTAGTCCAACACTGAGGGATATATTCAAGAAAAAACTCAGAAAGTCACAAAATATGTTTTGTGTTTTATGGATTAGTGTTCTGTGTTTTTAATGAAGTAGATATTTGGCATTTGTAACAAAGTAACCATCCTACTTGGGAGACATAATAGTATTGTCTCTTGCTTTTAGACTAATTGGTCTGATTGGACAAATTATTATCTATAAAATCTTTGGTTCATGCCAGAGCTTAATTATTCTGGAGCTTGACCTCTGGGAATCACTTTCAGAAGTCATTTTATATTTGGTCCCCTTTTTGTATATGAGAATATTGGTTGGGAAGATTATAAACTTTGCTTTCATTCCAAAGTTACCTATTAGGTTTTGAATTCATGTAACTACACTGAACGGAACCACTCACCTGCCTTATTCTTTCAAGCTTTCTTCTCATGTTAGTGATACCTTAAGTCAGGCCAAAACACAAAGGTATTATTAGACATTTTGGGCTTTGGGTCTTGGGAGAAAAAAATGGGATATGACAATTATACTACTTATCTCCAGCCTTTGTTTAATCTCAAAGCTGATACTTTGTCCCCAGGTTCATAGCTGATCCTGAAAGATAAAAGCATTATCTGCCAAGAGGAGCAGCCTTTATTATAATATAGGATGGGGAGTCATCTTTCTATAAAGACTCAGGACAAAACCTCTTCTTTACTGGGAAAGATCCTCACTGTCCCCACCACTACCACCACCACCAAGTTGGGACAGAATCTCACTTTATAGTTGAGGCTGGCCTCAAACTCAGTGCAATCCTCCTGCCTCAGCCTTCTAAGTTCTAGGATTACAGGCATGCACCACCATGCCAAGCTATCACTGGGCTTTTTAAGTCTCTGAGGTTGGTCCTTTGGATTCTTGTTTCTGACTCACTCTTGCCAGTTCAGTTAGCTTCTCTGTTGCTTCATGTCCAGAATGGCCCAGATACATAACCAAGTCTATGTCTCAGTCTTGCTTCTGTTAGCCTAATCAAAATTATGAAACAGAATAGTCATACGCCTTCCTGCATCCTAGTCCATCCCCATTCTGTCTTGGTTTTCCCCAGATCTCTCAGCCTTGTGCCCTCATCTTTCTTTTGCCTTGAAGACAGCTGATTGCTGAGAAGCTGTTACCTGATATTTAGGACTCCAGCTTTAGTGATGAGAGAAGCTTTAGGACCTAAGACATAGAGCTCTTCTGGTGGAGTGACAGGCTGTGGAATCCGTCTTCTATCATGCAGGTTATTAGAATCCAGAAAGGGAAGAGAATAGGGGTATGACGGCTGCTGTACAGAAATGGTTATGAATGGGTCTTGCAAATGAAGCCACTCTGTATTTGCCCATTTATGCTTCTTTGGGATCTGAGAGATGTCAGTGTTGTACACACCCAAAATTTTGACCTTGGGCTAACGTCATCTAGTTAACAGATTTAAACACGAGTTGTTTCATTCTTAACTTCCAGGTGAGTGATGAAATGGTAGTGGAGCTCATTGAGAAGAATTTGGAGACCCCTTCCTGCAAAAATGGCTTCCTTTTGGATGGCTTTCCTCGGACCGTGAGGCAGGCGGAAATGGTGGGTAGTTTAGTATTTGTATCGTCATTGCATGTAAGCAAGGTCTGGCCTGTTACCTCTTAAATGTTTGAAGGAGATGGGTCTGGTCAAGCTCTGGTAGCTTAGGTGGATCACACACTATTTTTTACAGCTCGATGGCCTCATGAAGAAGAGAAAAGAGAAACTTGATTCTGTGATTGAATTCTGCATCCCAGACTCCTTGCTAATCCGGAGAATCACTGGAAGGTATTTGTCCCTTGAAGGTCCTATCTCTTCATGCTTCCTCTGGGCTGTGTCAGACTGAGAATTGTTCTTGCATAACCTCAGATGTAAAGCTTATTGATGTTTTAAAATGAATTGATCTTATTTGCTGACATCCACTGAACAAGTGACCTGAGATGCATAAAGAACAAGGGATTTGAGGTCAGACAGTATCTCAGATAAAAATCTTTGACCCTAGGAACATTTCTTAAACTGTCTAAGGTTGTTCCTTCATTTGCAGAAATAGGTTAGTAGTTCTTGGCTTTAAGGAATTGTTGTGCATGTTAGGTAATATAAAATATATAATTCAAGCTTTGATTGTAGTAGATGCTTAAGAAATATTGTATTCTTGGGTTAGTAGCTTAGCAGTGTAGTACCTGCCTGGCAAGCACAAGGCCCTGGGTTCAATTTACAGTACCAAAAGAAAAGTTATATTCCTAAGAAGTATGTTTCTAGTTTAGTGCTTTTTTTAAAAAAAAATCTGATTTCAGTTGGAATTGGCACACTTTGCTGTAGGTTTTTTATTTTTTATGTTTTATTTTTTGGGTACTGGGGATCTAACTCATGACCTTGTGCTTGCCAGGCAGGCACTTAAGCCAATGAGCTAAACCCCCAGCCCCTGTAGGTTTTTTATTATAGAAATAATGCAGCCATCTACATAAAATTTAGAAAATTTTGTTCATAGTCCAGCCACTTTGTCACTTTGGGCTGCATTTTGTTAAAACATGTTTGTTTCTGTGTACCAGTCAATATTGAGCACAGAAATGCGTCTGCTTCTGAACTAGTTTGTACTGACAAGCAGCTGCTGCTTTAGGCTGCAGTTTCTCCTATCCTATTTTACCAGTTACTCTGCCATCTGCTTCATGCCTTCCAGAAATATGTTGGATGCTCTCAACTATTAATGGGCACTCTATTCTTTTCTTTATTGTGGGTCATATGACTTTTTTTATGACTGTTATTTCTTTTTTTTTTTTTTTTTTGTTTTTGTCTTTTTCATTTTTATCGGTACCGGGGATCGAACTCACGACCGCCTGCTTGCAAGGCAGGTGCTTATGCCGCTGAGCTAAACCCCCAGCCCCATGACTGTTATTTCTTGATGAAGCCTCAGGGAAGTGATCAGCACAGTATCTCATACCAAACATCCATGAGCATTATTTTGCATTGTTATATGACATTTCACAATAGTAGGTAAACAATTCTTTACATAACTGTCCCCTTATTGTTGTATGTTTGTGCTTTATGTAGTCACTGTTAAATTGATACTATGACCATTATGTAGACCATGTAAATTTGTGTGTTTTGTTTTGCTTTGCTTTATTTTGTCGTTTATGATACTGGGGATTGAACCCAGGGCCTCTGCACTGAATTACATCCCAACTCTTTTATTTTGAGACAGGATCTTGCTAAATTGCCCCACCTGGGTTCAAGCTTGCAGTCCTCTTACCTCAGCCTCCCAGACTGCTGGGATCAGGGGCATGGGTGACTGTGCCCTCCTCAATTTCCTCCTCAATTTAGTTAGAAAGAAGATGTTTTCTAGACTTTCTATTTCCTAAGAGGGTTGCACTTTTTTTCCATTGTGTCTCTTATCCATACCTTCAAGGGTTGATGCAGACGTGCGTATAGCAGGGTGAATGTAAGAGCTGTTACTCTGGAAGGCTTTATGAAATGCAGTCAGATCTACTTTATATTAATTTCTTTTCAAATGTTCAAGTTTCGTGTTCCTAGATATTTTGTAGGTTCCTGCAGTACAAGGGCTTTTGTTTCTTTATATCTTCATTGGGCACAGAGTAGGTAAATAAAATTGATGTAGGACAGGAAGTGGTAGAGTTGACATTAAAGGATATCACCAGGTATGAGGTCCCTGAGGTGCAAAGCAAGTATTACCAGAATCAGGTGACACCAGACTGCTTTGATTTGATGGGTTGACCTGGAGTACCTACTTCCTGTGTAGCACACTAACCCCAGTGACAGAAGACCAAGAGAGGCTCTAGAACAACAGAGTGATACACATCTACACATCGCTGGTCTCAGAAAGTCATGTGTGAAATCAGGGCTGTTCTGACCACTTGGAGCAAGAAGAAGTTCAAGAAGAGAGCCTGGGAGAGGGATACGAGGCTTCCTAGGAAAAGATGTAAGACTAAGTCTTCCTGAATGAAAAGAGTTTCAGTGAGGCTTTCCCTGAAGGGGGAGTCAAAGCAAAAATGAATGTAGGCTGGGAGAAGTATCTAGTTGGGGCTAATAGAAGACATGTCTGTCCAGAGCTGGCGGAGTGCTCTAGGGGCCAGAGGGCAGGATGGGAGCTGTTGGAAGCTAGGAACTCAGCAGGAAGTCTACCAGGCTGAAGAGGATAGCCTAGACAGAGTCAAGGCGCAGGGGATGTTCTCCAGCTCCTGAGTGGTACGGCAAAAGTAACATTCTCAGGCCCTTGGTGGTGGCATTAAAGATGAAGAGGAAAAACAGATAAGGACCCTTTCTGGGAATTTGCTCGTCATCCATATGAAGCTTCTGACTATTCAGGTACTGAAAGAAACAGATTCTGAAGAACAAACTGCAGGATTATGGTAGAGGGCAGAAGCAGCAAGCTCAGTCCCTCATTTAGAAGTGAGTGGTTTAGTGCAACTCCCTCCCTCATGGAAAAGGACCTGCTTCCTCACAGAACATGCCAAACTGGTGAAGGTGTTTTTCCAAGTTCACCTGACATGCATGGCAGGGCTTGCACCAGAAATCTGCTTGCTGCTTCCTTGTCTGCCGTGCTGACAACAGAAAGCAGGTACCAGTCAGTTTAAATCTGAGGTAATAAGAGCTTCAGGTAACAACAGTCTTCTGAATTTTATGTGACCTTACTTCTAATGATTTTGAGGGGTTTCTTTTTATTGTTGTTTTGTTGTGAGACAAGGTCTCACTGTAGCCAAGGCTGGCCTTGAACTCATCTTCTGTCTCCGCCCCCAGAGTGCTAGAGTTACAGGTGTGAGCTACCACACCTGGCCTCATTTTGTTTTGGGGGCTTTTTTTTTGGTACCAGGAATTGAGCTCAGGACCTTGCTTGTGCCAGGCAGGCACTGTGCCCCTGAGCTGTCTTCTGACCCTTCATTTTGTTTCCTGATTACATTATAGTTGGTTGTTTGAATTTTCACTTGTTCGGTGTTGACTCTAATATCCTAATTATCCTACCCATTGGCTCTCTGGTATCATTGTTTTAATACCTACTACCATCTCCACTTTGTGGGTGAGAAATCAGGGGTCTATAGTGTCTTGCCAAAAGTAACAGTGACTGTAGAGTCCCAGTCCAGACTCATGCCCACCTGTGCCTCCAACCATTGGGCCAGGCCCAATGGTTATGGAACTGTTTTGGTTGGTACTTGAGACCAATCCTATTTTGAGAATTAAAAGATTGGGCTTTCTTTCATTTATCCTCTAGGGAATAAGCCTTGCATTCCTTTTAAAAATGATATTTGTGAATGTGGAAAGAACAGTGTGTTGTGTGCAAGTAGGGCTGAGGGCACCTGGGAATTTGTAAACAGAGAGATAAGGGGAGCATAGAAAATGGTAGCATAGAGTTAGCATCCTGGCCACCATGTGGATGAAGAAGTTCCATTAGTGAGGCTGGGTTTGGTGGCTCACCACTGTAATCCCAGCTACCTAGGAGGCTAAGGCAGAAAGAATGTAAGTTTAAGATGAGCCTGAGTAGCATAGCAAGACTCCATCTCAAAAGGAAAAGAAAATAAGCTTAATTTTTCTCTGTCTTTTCTTCCCCTTGACCCTTCACATAAATCCTTGTGAAAGAACTCATTTGCTGTAGTTACCTGTCTCCACAGTTGTCTCCTGTAGTGAACACTGATTATGTACAGAGATACCAAATCACTGCCTCCAGCCCCAGTTTTGGCTTAAGGCCTGAATCAAACTAGACACTTAGGAGTGTTTGTTGAATAGAATGGAAGACCAGCACCAGTGTCCTGCTCTCAGGTTCTGAATTAGGTAGTTGTGTGAGCAGTTACCTTTTCAGACCCTCATTATAATATTTGATCAACATTTTTTTTAAAAAGTGCCTGTGCTGTTGGCATTAGCCTAGTTACTATCCTAAGCGAGGGGCACCTGTACCTGGGCAGAAGTCCTTATGTCAGCTTCTCTGCTTGCAAGTCTGGAGTACAGGGGTACTTTCCAGCACCCTGACTCACACACCTTTGCTGTCTTTCAGGCTGATTCATCCCAAGAGTGGCCGATCCTACCACGAGGAGTTCAACCCCCCAAAGGAGCCCATGAAAGATGATGTATGTGAACTCATGATCGGAAATGTTCATTCTTCATTCTTGTTTCTTTCTTCTTCTCTGTTCTTTGCTCTTCCCTTTTACCAGTATTACTGATTCAGCCATGGAAAATAGTGCTGTCACGTAAGCCGGGAGGCCTGTGAACAGATCTGTGCATTGGCTCCCCGGGGAGTTCACTGCTTGATTTCAAAGCAGCTGCCAGTGTCAGCTTTTTCCCAGTGTCTAGATTCGTAAGGAGGACTGCCCTTATCTGGCATTACCTAAGTGATAAAATAATTGGGAAAAAGTTGTGGGGAACCTCAGAATTAGCGGGGTGGTAGAATCAAGAGAAGTTTGCTAACGAGCCCTGCTCCAGAATATCTTGCTGGCTTCTGTGCTGTACTCTGGCATCTTGTACATGGTCACTGTACCATGTGCTGTTAGGAGTCCATATGGTCTGTTTTAGAGCATGGAGGCAACAGTGAGAATTTCCTGGGTTTACCTTTGTCATGAGACAATTTCATCAAGTTATCTAGGTTCTGTAAATTCAGATTCCAAAGCCATTGTATCAACTTAGTCACATTTCAAAGCGATAATAATTTTTACCATTCAGATTCTTTCTCGTTTCACTTGCCATTTGATTGGTAATACTGTAGTAGGATGATAAATATTTAGGCCACTAGGATTACAATTATTGTGCCAGGCATGATGTGGTGCCCGACTATAATCACAACTACTTGGAGGCTGAAGCAGGAAGAGCAAAGCCAGCCTGGGCTGCATAGCAAAACCTTTTCTTTACACAAAAAGATTATAATTGTTAATGCATCTCTGATTTTGATACATTCTCTTGGTCTCAGAGTCCTCCATCTTCCTTGCTTCTGACCTTAGAAGTGTTCATCTTGCCAAGGATATAGCTCAGCGGCATAAGTGCCTGCCTGGCAAATGCAAGGTCCTGAGTTCAATTCCTAGTTCCCTCCCACCAAAAGTGTCCATCTTGGAAGCTGACCAACTGGCGCACAGAGGGTATAAGAGAAAGGCCTTGCTCCTTATGGTTGCTGTTTATGATGGTCTCCCTGGCTTCTTTGGACCAGTTAGTCTGTTTCTAAGAGTCTGCTTCGAAGCTTTTTATTGGAAAGGGTGTATATTTTCTGACTTTGCCCCTGATGGACTGTGGGATCAAACAGCAGCCCAGACAGGCGTTCCATCGCAGACCTGCATCAATGTAAATAAAGCTTTGCAAATAGCTTCAGCCTTTCATTCTCCCTTTTTGTTTTCAGATCACGGGGGAACCCTTGATCCGTAGATCAGATGATAATGAGAAAGCCTTGAAAACCCGCCTGGAGGCCTACCACACTCAGACTACCCCACTTGTGGACTACTACAGGAAACAGGGAATCCACTCAGCCATCGATGCCTCCCAGACCCCTGACATCGTGTTTGCAAGCATCCTAGCAGCCTTCTCCAAAGCCACATGTAAAGACTTGGTTATGTTTATCTAATGTTGGGTTCAAAAAGGAATCTTTCTTCTTATCCTTGTTAACGGAATGGGTGGGAGTGGCAGGGCAGGCATGGAGAAGCTTCATTTCTCAGGCTAGCAAGAATATCCTTTGATGTATTAATTAAAAAGCCTTTGCTTGATGTATCTTTGGTGTGTATGCAACTCTCATCCCATCTGTGTGTGTATGGAAAAGTTTGTGTTTTTACTCTCCTACTTTCTAATTTCAGGGCTCAGTTGCTTTACCAATCATTATATTTGTCTCTTTTTGTTTTTTGAGGGTCTTGGTCTCACTATGTAATTCAGGCTGGGCTTGAACTCACTGTGTAATCCATGTTGGCCTTAAACTTGCAGCAATCCTCCTGTCTCAACCTCCCAAGCACTGGAATTATAGGCATGCATCAGCATATCAAGCTGCTTACCAATGGTTTACTTTTTTAGTCACACTCTTAATTCAATTTTTGACCAAAATAAACTATCCTGGTATCTGTTAGATACCCCAGTTCCAAAGCCTCGTAGTACTTATCCTGTTTCCAGCAGCTGATTAAAAGTCTAAGGTCACAGGAAATCAGGCAGAGTCACGATCCATGATGCAAATTGTTGGCAGGAAATTTTACTTTTTTCAGTTCATGATGAAAAACTGCATGAGTCAGTGTGTAGACAGGGATCATGCATTTTTTTCACCCCTAAATGGAAGCAAAAGGCATTTTTATTACAGATTCCAGAAATTGCTGGTAGCTAGTATCACAGTAGCAAGAACCAGGCTAGGTTGGAATATTTCTTGTAATCAGCATCATGGTGCTATAAAGTAGGAATCATGTGGGATTTGAATTGTTGCCAAAGAATTAAAGCAGGTAAAAGTCCTCTGTAATTCAGACGTCTTCTGAACATCCAGGCTGGGCTAGGTACCTGCAGACAGCCAAACCTACTTCCCCAAAGAGAGACCATGGAGGGGTTGATTGCTTTTATTTTTAATGTTTGTTTTTGTTTCTAAGTATAAACAAAACAGTGATTTGGAGTGATCTATTCTTGGATTCATTTTGATCAAAATTTATTCAAACCCAGTCTTTCCAGTATAAGAAACTCAAAGTTATGCCCTCTTTAAACCCAAATAGTCTCCCTCGCAGATCCAATCTTTTACCCCTTATTTCATGACAGTTGGTAGCCACAGACTCTCCAAGAAAAGATCACCCAAAAATAAGATCATCTATGATTGTAACCAGCTTTTATTTATAACCTTAGTTCCCCAGCTGTTAAGCATTTTCTAGGGTCCATGCTGTGCATTTCGGTCTCTGGTTTGATTTGTGGGCAAACAGATGAATTAGTAGGCTGCTGTGAAGAGACCACAAAACCTGCAGCTCTGGAAAAACCATTAGAAAGTCAGTGGAACATCTAGTAAGTAATGCTGCCCGCCTCAGCATAAGCCTCCCGCTGACTTGGTGCAGTGAATTTTAAAGTGCTTGGTGCCCATCTGACCTGAGTTTTCCTGCTGTCTGTGAGACTACCAGAGGGCCTGTCCTCTGTGCACTTGGAAACAGCATGAGTGTGTGGCCATGTTGCTTCCCTCTTCGCCTTGTCCAAGCGAGTGAGTGCTGCCTCTGCCCTGCCTTGTTCCCCTGCCTGAGCTAGCTCCCCACTCTTCTCAGAAAGGAAGTCTGGTTTTGTGTTTCTGGGAAACACATGACTTTTGGGAATTGGCAGGGGAGAGGAGTGAAACCAAAACTATCAGCTGTGCCTGTAAGAGTCTGGCACAGACTAGATGAGGGTGGCCTTGTGAACCTTGGAGTAAGCTCCCTTCTTTTGGGATAGTCATAGGTACTTTGCCTCAAAGTTGAAATTCCTCAGTGTTTGATAATTAAATGATCCTTGCCCAGGTATCTGCCATCTGTCCGCATATACTCACATGTGCATGTGATATTTGGGTTGCAGATGAGAACTAAAAGATCATGGGGGATTCATATGCCTGTCTGAGGTTGGTTAGGATTGTATTTTTGCTTCATTTAATTGCAGTGTTAACCTCAGCAGGCATGAGAGCTTTCACCTGGCAGAGAAACAGCCAGTATTTAATGCATTTGGTTGCTGGGGCATGCATGCCAGCCTTCCCTGACATTTACTTGGTTTTTAAAAGCCCATTTTGTTCTCTTGTTTCCTCTCTATTTCAGCCTAGTAACAGAAGGCCAGGCGAGACTGCATCACTGCTCATCACCCCGCGGCGTGATCCCTGCTCTTAGGTGCTGGGCAGAGGGAAAGGGAAATCCTGGGAAGGATGGAGAAGGGAGGGCTAGTGAGGGCTCAAGAGGAGGATTTGGAAGAGCAGCAGAGTCATAATGAGCTGGGTTTTTGGGGGGTTTTGGTGTTTTGGTTTTTTTTAACACATAAGTGGGAGTTTCAAAGTGTAAGCAAAGAAGATTTTTAAAAACTGTGATTAGAGGGTGTGGGTACAAATAGGGAGATACAGTATTATTTCTAAGCTATATGGTTTCTAAGCTATGGGTTTTCATGTATTCTGGACTTTTTAAAAGCCAGTCCTGTAAAGACCTCACCTGTTGTCTCAGAATCTCTTGGGGTACCGGACCAAAAATGCAGGAGATGGAAATGTGGTCCTGTCTGTCTTATAGCTTGGAATAGAGAGTATTTGTGGATCTTGGTTCCCCTCACAGATCAGAACACCATCTCCACATTTGAAAGAGATCTGGTGAATTCTCAGGGCTGGTTGCGAGTCATGAGGGAGTGGGGAGATAGCCCTAACTCCCTTCCCTGACCTACCGCTGACTTAGCAGTCCACGCGCTCTCATAGCTGAGCTCTTAGAGCCACCCAGAGTACTACAGTCCTGCAGCCTTGACTTCTTTCATTTATGGTGTGTAAAGGGACCTTTTAAGTACATGAGCAACGGCTGGGGACGGAGCTCAGTGGTTCAGCACTTACCTACCATGTGCAAGGACCTGGGTTTGGTCCTCAGTACCACAAAAATATTAAGTGGAGCCAGGGGTGTGACTCAGTGGCCTAGTGCCTGCTTGGCAAGCAAGAGGTCCAGAGTTTGGTTCCCCATTCTCTTCCCCCCAAAATTAAATAAATTAATAAAAATAAATGAGCAAGTGTCCTAAGCCATATTATCCAAAAAAATTGCCCTTTCCACTCTCAGATCCTGTGACTGACAGCACTGTGTGATGTATTTTCAATGAGGTGCCTTTCTTAACTGACCAAATGCTGCCTTATTTGGCCCCTAAATCAATAAAATATATTGAAAATTTGTATCCCCTGTTGTGGCTTTTTTTTTTTTTAAGGAATCTATATTAGAAAATTTCATAGGGAGATCCAAGAATGTGTTTCCAAGATGAGCCTGCACCCTTGCAACCTCCAGCTTTTGTGCAGGCTTTTCTTGGACCCAGGAAGATAAGGCACTGTCTAGTCTAGTGAAGATAGCACCGTCCTTGGAGTTCAGGAAACGGGACAAGTCCCAGCCAGTGAGTCATTTGCTCTGCTCACGTCTCCTAAATCTGAATAAGCAGATGATGCCACTTTCTTGGATTTACTGGCATTAAATGGAATTTGTAAAGAAAAGCTCTTGGCCTGGTATTTAATATGTAATAGACGTTATATAAAAGTTGTATCAAGATAGTCACAAAAAAATACCTGTGTCCTGCTGGGCTAGGTGGATATTTGTCCACAGCCAGTGCTTGTAATCCCTACGCCAATCTTTGGCTATCTTTTCAACTGCTTCAGCACCTTTGATTGCTTCTTTCTGTGTCCTGGTTTAAATCCACTTACTCCTCCAAAGTGAGTTTCAATCACTTGTCCAGACTGAGGCATTCATGTTTCGTTTTGTTTTTGTTTTTGCTACCGGGGGTTGAACTCCTGACCTCACGCTTGCCAGATAGACGCTTGTGTTGCTGAGCTTTTGTGAGAGTTGCCTTGCAGTGAAGTTTCTGAGAAATCACTGCTGTTTCCGGAGTCCGAGGGAGCTGGGTTGGAAGTACTGCTGCTGTTCTGCATGCATCTGAGAGTCTGAGTCCTCACCGGCATGTTAAATCCTGCTCCCTGGGCCAGCTCCTCCCTCTTTGCTTCACTTCCCCGTCTCAGCAGAGTCATTTTCAGGTGTAAGCATGACAGATTTGCTCTGATCTTTTCATCCCCTGAGCTTCTTAAATGCCCCATGGAAATTTTCTTCCATTCCTTGACCATCATACATCCAATTGAGAGGAAATATTTGTCAAACCAGCCTGAAGAGCAGCCTAGTATGACTGAAAAAAATAAACAGAAGAATGAGTAAGCTGTTACTCATTTGCTTCTCTGGACTGTAGTTTCCTCACTGCAAACCAAGATTGGATGAGAAAGCATCACTAGCGCTGCTGGAGGGCTGACAGCATGCCAAACTCAGTGGAGCCCTCACACCCTTGACCACTGACACCCTCACGGAGCACCCTGTGCAGTCAAAGCTTATTTTACAGGTGAGGAAACCAAGACTCGGTGGAGGAACATTCCTCCTGTCACACAGAAGAGCCAAAGCCGGAACTCACGTGCCAGCACGTTGGCCTTGTTGCTGAAGAGATGTAGTGACTTGTGCACCTCTACAGGCAGGAGGGAACCTTCCAAATAAGAGCCCTTTTTTACAGATCTTCATGCCAGGCTGATTTTGAAGATGTTTTTACTGCCAGTTCTAAGGACCTGGGGTCTGTTGTCTGGATCTTATGTAGTGTGTCACTGACATCAAAGCAGGATAAGGAGCAACCTCAAGAGCCGGACAGTCTCATCAGTAAGTGCTCATGGGTAAGGATGACCAGTACACAGCAGGTACTCCAGGAATGGTGATGGAGTTCAAAGAGAAAAAAGTGGGCATTGATAGGTACTGTGAGCTTCATACATCTGAGAAAGGCAGAACCAAAGTGTCGGCCTGCATCTGTGGCTGTGCATCCCAGCCTCATCAGTGCTGGGGAGAAAGGAAGGGTTCTCCGAGGCACTCATGATACAGAAAATCCTGTGACCCATGAACAAATGACAGGAAAAACACGTATGTTCCCTCACTGCAAAGGGTCTAAATGGAGACCATTGTCATAGAAGTGAAGCCTTTTTCTATTTGATCATCTTCTATGGCTTCTTTGCTATTAGTAGCTATTGGGGTACAGGATTTACAGAGCTGGCAGCCATCCAGAGGTTACAAGAGGTATCAGGTCCCTCACTTCTGGTTCGGAATAGGTGGCTGCAGCTCCAGAGTGTGTACATTGGCTCTGCTTCCTTCGCCTCTCACTGGAGCTCTGGGCATTGGCTTTGCATTAGTGCAGGGCAGTGTGGTGATAAGCTTCCCCATAGGAGGCCTCTGCCAGGTGCCCCAGCTTGGTTGAAGTGCCCCGGGCAGAGAGCAGGGATATGGAAAAGATGAAGAAAAGCCAGAGGGCAATATCACGCTCAGATCCTCTAGGTCACCCTCAGGCCTGTATATCAAACAGGTCTACATTTGTAGAGTGAGGTTGAAGTACAGTAAAGCATTCCATTGAGTGATGTCCCTTAGATAAAACTTTTAGGACAAATTTCTCTAAATGGTCTGAGTATGATGGTGTATACCTATAATCTCAGCACTCAGGAGGCTGAGGCAGGAGGATTGCCACAAGTTCAAGGCCAGCCAGGGCTACAAAGAAAGTTCAAGGTCATCCTGAACTGCATTGTAAAACCTTGTCTCAAAAAAGACTCAAACAAAAAATGTACAAATATCTCTGAGTTTAGAGCTAGGAGACAGTGTTCTCCATTTAGTTTGTCTCCTTTCTTCTAGGTAAGGAATTCTTCATATTTTTTGCTTTCCTTTTTGCTCTTGGTGTGAAGAAATTTGAAACTAAGTCTAGTGTTCCACTGCTGTGCTTTCCACTGCTGCAGTCTTATTAAAATTCTTAGCCCACCCCAATCAGTTGTGTTATATTTAGTGTTTTCATATTCATATATGTGCAGTAAACTGCCTTAGACCCATTTTGGAAAAGAGCCAGGTGCACAGGAAGGGCTCCTAGGCAGGATGGGGCCGGTGGCCCTGTGCAGGGGAGAGGGGGGACACAGGCCAACAGGAAGCACAGCCCAAGGGAAGGTGTGCAGGCCGCTGTGCCAGGGCAGCCCGGCTGCCCTAATCTAGGGGACAAGAGTCCCTGGGAAACCTGCATCTCACTGGTAATAGTGCTTTTTAAGTAAAGTACAGGAACAATAGAAGTGAAGCTGTTTAGCTCATGAATAATGTCAAGAACTCAGATGAGCAGAAGACAAGAGTTGATGACCCACTTTAAGTTCAGCCCACGTACCATTCTTCCTCCTCTAGCCGTGCCACAGTCTGTGCTCTGACTAGAATTAGGTGACCCTTTGCCATGCATCTGAAGAAGAATCCCTCGATTTTTGGCAGCTCTGTGGCCCAGTCATGTCCTCAGTGGAGTGAGAATAGTTTCTGAGGATGACCAAGACACCCTTTCTGTGTCCCACTTCCTTTTCCTTCCCCGTTGGAGTACTGGACCGAGTCAGAACAGGCTGCTGGTTAAGACATTGAGTATTTCCTGAGCTGTCGGGTATGGCCCTGACTGGAGATGGAAGTCACTTTTTGTGCCCAGAGACACTCATTCTGCTCAGGTTAGCAGGAGGAATGTGTCCCTGACATGGCAGCCAGCTCTAGTGATGGTCTTAGTACCCACAAAGCTCAAAATTCACTGAGAGTGGAACATTCTGTAGTTGAAGACAGGGGATCTGGAGCAGTACCCACTTGGGTTCCACAGACCTCTGATGCTGCCTACAGGAACTGGCCTCCAGAGACCAAAAAGTTGGGGTGGAGCGAGTGGAGCACAGAAGTACCTGATGAGAGATCAGGGTTCTTCAAATGCATGGGGCGCCAGATAGACACTGGAGTAGGCAGGAAGTCTTTGAGTGTTAAGAACCTTTGAAAATTGCCCTGTTCAAGGGAATGAGAACCGTACCTTCCTCCTGGCAAAGCAGGCAGGGCGAGCTGGTGTATATCGGGTGCCTTCATGGTGTCCAAGCTACTCAGAAGGATTTGCTAACTAGAAGCCTCCGGCTCAGTGATTCCAGTTTGTTCACACACCCTAAGGAAATGACTAAATAGGTGAAGAAAGCACTTTTCTGTGATGTTAAGAACTGGAAACAACCTAAATTTCCAACAATGGGAGATTGTGATTCATTCATGGAATAGTATAGTATGCTACCACAAAATAATCATTTCGGGAGGCAAAGTTTTCATGAGAAATTACTGGGTGAATAAACAGAGGTGGTGAAACAGGGCAGGAGACAGACATGGTGGCCCGAGCCTGTCATCACAGCAACTAGAGAGGCTGAGGCAAGAGGCGGCAGTGAAGGCCAGACGAGACAAAACTGTCTCAAACTAAAATAAATAAGGAAATAAAAAGGCCTGGGGGTGTAGCTCAGTGAGAGTGAGCACTAGGACCTCTGGGGTGTTCACTGCTTTTTTGCAGTGCTAGAGATGCAACACAGGTCAGACAAACGCCCTACTACTGAGCTACACCCTCAGCCCCAAAATGCATTTATTTTTTTTTAAGTAAACTTATATTTTGGAATAACTCTAAGATTGCAGAAAAGTTCCAAAAGTAAAATTTCTGTCTAAACTTCATTTAGTTTCTCCTAAGGTTGACATCCTACATAAGCAACTAACAGATTAATTTTGATATATTACTAGACTCTGATAAGACTCATTTTACTGGTTTTTCCACCAATGTTCTTCTATCTGTTCCAGGATTCAATCCTTTATATCACATTGCAATTACTATTTTTGATATTTAAAATTCATATAGTAAAAAAATTTTGTGTGTGTGTATAGTCAAGTAGGGTGTGTTACAGGATTTATACTTGTAAATCCTAGCACTCAGGAGGCTGAGGCTGGGATATTCCCGAAAGTTCAAAGTCAACCTGAACTGCATAGTGAGAACCTGTATCAAAAAATTTTTTTGAAAGTTTGGAGGTATAGAAAAGCATCTAAAAGGCCACAGATTAAAATATTAACTGTGATCATGGCAGAGTGGTAAATCATTAGGTTTTTTCCCAGTGATAAAAGTAGAACCCAAGGCCTCTGCACTGAGCTGCGTCCCCAAGCCATTTATTATTTTCATTTTGAAATATGTCTTACTAAGTGCCCAGGCTGTGCTTGATCAAAAGTGCAGTCCTCCTTCAGCCTCAGAGTGCTGGGGTTACAGCTGTCTGCCACCGCTCCTGGCTGGAGATTGTTTAAAGTTTTTAGTGTGTCTTAGTTTTTGTTTATTGTGTT